TCCCTGAACCTTCACAAACATTTAAAGACTAAGATAAGATAAATCCGTTCAGCTGTTCTCGAGTTTTAGCGAGACTAAGGAACAGCAATCTATTTTTATATATATAGAAGATAAATTATAATGATTTTTTTATTCCTACAGACTTAAAGCACACTCTTCAACATTTTTCCGCTTGTAACGGTCCTCAATTTCGAGTAGTTCCAATTAATTATGATACAATTAAAAGAATATTCAATTTTCAAGCAGACGCGCTAAGCTTCAAGCACTTTTTCATAGCAGCACCAGAAAAGTCGATAGAGAAGATAAAGAAGGGGAAAATGATGGAAACTTATTGATATATACACTGATTTGTAGATCAACTTATTCGAATTTTTTATGTTAATTAAACTCATTACGGCAACAGTATCTCCGTTAAGAATTTATCTCATTTAAAGTTTACTAAAGGAAGGTTCTCGTCTGCCCGTGATCACGGTTGCTGTAAACTAATAGAAACGTCGGGAGTATGTAGTTTCTAAAAATAATAAAATACGTGTAGTAGTCCTATAATATGAGTTTCATTTAAAGGGTACCAACTAAAGGAATATGGTATTTTACAACCAAATTCAGGCGATTGATCCTATCTTCTCGTTGACAATATAAGTAGGACAGAAGCTGTAATTGCTTCTCGTCTTCGGTCCGGTCATATTCATCTAAATAGTTTCGCTGCATCAATGACCAAGTCTACCTCAGCCGTACGTTCGAAATGAAATATCGTAGAAAATTCTCTCCATACATAATGGCTTAATTTGTTCGCAATAAAACAAAAAAGGAACATTTTCTTGTTAAAATCAGCGCAGATTCTTACCATTAAGGAATGTGGATCAGCGTTCTTTCTACTCTAACAAGTAAAGAGGTAAAAATTCTATTTAAATATATTTCTATTGGTTTAAACCGGAGCATTATTACATAAAATACCTTATGTTATTAGAGTAATTGCTCTTAAAGCATTGAAAACTCTTTTCGATAGTTCTTGAAATAAAAAATGAAATAAAAGTTAATTTTCTGTAAAGAATTCAATCCAAAAGATAAATTATACTGTTATAAAATGATCATATTCATAATAAATGCTTCAATGGTCTGAGTACATAATATTATTATGAATATAATTTTATAATAGAAAAAGTTCGGAATAATTATGAGATTCGAAATATAATATATTTCTTCTTATACAATATCTATTATAGTCGGTAATATCAATAATTTGTGCTTATATAGAAAGAAAAAAGATACATATATACATATGTGTTAAGAAAACCGATCTTAGTAAAGCCGGGTGTTTTATTTAGTATTGCGTGAATTACCAACTCAATCTATCGAGATCAATCCAATTAGTGCGTTAAGTACAGCGTCGCTTGAGTACTTTGATAACGAGTCGAGTTGACAGAATCATTAGTATGAACTAATGGTACAAGGATTTTCAGGTTAAGATACTGATTTATTACAGAAGACACTTGAATATATTTGAGATACAATTATATTAATATACTGAATTAATTTCGTATAAAACCTTATTAGAAAATATATTGAAATTTTTGATGTTATTTTCATTTGACATTCTATTTTTTTGATAACATGTAACTAATTAAAAGTTCGAAATAACCTTTTAAGTGCCGTGATATAAGTTTGACGTTTATATCGGTCCAGCAGTGTAGAAATATCAACTCTATTTCGTAGTGATAAAAGGCGTTTTTGGCTATGATTACTCGACTAAGCGCCTAACGCGTAACTAAAATTTAAATTTTGCACTCTGATACTTGTATTTTAATTATAAATTATTTTATAAATAAAATTAAAACAGTTTTTATTACTCTATAGTACTCTATAGTACATAACTATGTATTAATGATGTATTACTAATTAAAATTACTAATAATATGTACATTACTATAAATAAAACTTCAGTAGATGTTAAAGTTTATAATTCTAATATTATTTCAGTAAACTTTATTACAAAAATTTTGACTTGAAATTTTGACGTCTTTTAATAAAGAAAATGTATACCTTTTTTATAGTTGCACGTTGGAAAAGTAGTTAGGGTCACTGAAAAAAATCTTTTGTTCATATAGCTACGTAAATAAATTATGAAAAAACGTTGTATATTTAGATAATCGTAGTTTTTATATATAATACTAGTTTTTGTCCGCGACTTCGTCCGCGTTAGTTTGGTCAAGAGTAATATATGTAGGTATAGCTGACCAAGAAAACTCTATTCCGTCTTAGAGGCCATAAATAATCAGGTTTTTCCCCTATTTCATCAGGTTATTGAAACATCAATGAAACAGAATGATTGACATATTAGTTAGTTGTCAAATCTAATGTCAAAAAAAAAACGTTTGTATGGGAAATAGAAAAGGGCTGTTTTTAGGGTTTTCAAGGCAATTATTCCAATTTTTCTCATCTTTTTAACCTTCCCTGGACTTCCAGGAGTATTTCAAGACTAAAATTAGCCAAATCGGTTCAGCCGTTCTCGAGTTTTAGCGAGACTAAGGAACAGCAATCCATTTTTATATATATAGAAGATAATAAAACTGAAAAAATCCTTTTTTACAAAACTGGCTTCAGCACGAAATTATGTGAAGTGGGTCAATGCAATTATGAAAAAAGAAAAACGGGGACAAAGGAAAAGCGCTGTTAAGAATTTCAGTCTTATATGAGATATACATCTTTTACTCTTGAGTGTTTTGGGTATTTTTAGTTACTGTCTTTATCTCTAATTTCCAAAATTCTCAGTACATTTTATTGTCTACCATTTAACAGTGATTTCGCGGCGAGATTTGCAAATAGCGACTGCTGAGTACATAAAATAAATGACTAGTCAAAAGTTGATTTTATAACTGGGGATTATTTTTATAAATATTTTTTTTACTTTATAATTTAGTATATATATTATGTAGAAATTATAATAAATTGTTAAGTGGTAAAAGGACTTTATTTTGTGCCTGAAATAAATTTAAATATCAACATATAATTAAAGTAAAAAAGTGAGGCTTCCCAAATTTAAGGAAATGACCTCAAGCTGTGAAATAAAATGTAATTTATACTGATATAAGAAATGATGCAAGGCATAATCAACAAGCACACATTTAAACGACTTTGTCTATTAAATAAGACTTTTAACGAATTCATGAATGAATTTTATAAAGATCTGTTCTGAAATCATATACATCTCTTATATTAGAAATACGTGTGCCTGAAACATTTCTTATACAATCCACACAATTTTGCTAATCTGATGTTGAATACTTGGCTGCTCTCCAAATTAACTTGTATTCATATCAAAACCTTTCCTTCAATGTGATGAGTTTATTCTTAAAAAAAAAATAACCAAATACTTTTTCCCTTGCTAAGAATTATCTAAATAAAAATCTACCAGACAAGGAAACCCTCATAATTTTAATGTCTTTTAATGTCTTTCAAAGGCAAATACACTTTCTAGTAAGGCAAAAACTACTTGTAGTAGAGAATATAAAATACGTTGCCCATACAATATACTTTAATTCACAAAATCTCTGAAAACATTTCTTGTAAATGTTATGTTCTTAACATACTTGTATTCATAAAAAAAATCATTATACTTCGTCAAATTATGCTTCGTGTCTTATGAGAAATATTTTTCAAAGGTTTTCTCAATTTTGCTGATCAAAAGTAAAGACGGTGCAGTCGGCCGTAGGCGTTTTTTCTGTTCCTTTCAAAACATGCTCTAACTTTCCTCATGTCCGTATAGGGATAATTTCAGTTCATTAAAAAATATTTTCTTTCGCCTTAACATAATTAATTAATCAAGTTATTTTTTGTTTGTAAGCAATATATGTAAATGTATGTGGGATTTAATTCAAAGCAAAGAAAAGGTTTTAAGCTCCGTCAGAGAAAAACATAAAACAGGACATAACAAAAAGGTTCCCGGAGTGAACACTCAATTGATTTAGTTTAACTCAACTCTAGATTTCTCGAAATATGTAGGTCAATGCAGTACAACGCTACAGCAAAAATTGCTTTAGTTAACGTTATAAAACAACTTCAAATTTGTTAAAAAAAATACAAAGTTCTCAAACACGAGCTGTTTTCCGCTTGTTTCCTTAAGCTACTGAAAATTCAACTCCCTTTTTGTTTAAACAAATTTCGCGGTAAGCTTACAGAATATTACTGAACAATTATACTTTCAAATAAATAGTCGAGAAATACGAAATAAAATTTTGAACTTAGTTATCGGTTATGTTTTTAATAACTTTATTTTTATTATTTTGAACGTATTTCAATTCCTAATTTACTGTGTGTCGGGTGGGTGGTTTTGCACGTAATGATATACAAAGTGAACAATGCATTTTATAATTTAATACTTCAGTACCTATAGCATAAGATAGTATCTTCAAAGAGTATACTAAAAGTGACTAGATTTTCATTAACAAATGTTCGTAGATAACAGTGTAAACACGGTCTGATGACTAACTCGTAGTAAGAATAAATACCATTAGAACCGAAAAGCTCTCAGTTCATAAGTACAAATATCTGATAATTACGTTTAGAATAATATAGAGTACCTATAATATACATCTCTCTTATAAAATACACACCTCTGTTTGTATTATGTAATTTACAAAAAGGTTCTTCAACTTTCTTGGCCTTAAATAACATTTCTGTGTGAAATTCATACTTAAAGAAAGTTCAAAGTTATCATAATTTCTGTATGACTTCTATAACAAATCTGGAAACACGCCAACGCATTCTTTTATATATTTTTTTACTTAGGATAATTGTTGTTCTCTCTTCGTATCACTTCGTCTTTGTAATGTTTTAATGATTTAATATTTTATCTTGCATTAGCCTAGACCTATACAAATTTCTTAGTTTCGTTACAGACAGTCGTCATCATCATTCTAATAATATATATACAATCTGAAGTAGCATAGTATTTGTTTTTGTATATTTCAGTATATTTCATACAATATTAAATGTTATTTCAGGAACGCCTTAGCACCGAAGAGATAACTCGTCTAAGCGATGTTCGTAATCTCGTCAACCAGTTATACGAGGCTCTGAACGTTCGTGAACATCAGATCAGAAAAGAACGTGAACTGAGGGCCCAGCTGGAGAAACTAACGGCTGAGCTGCAACCTTTAGAAGAGGTGAGATTCTTGTTTGAATATATCAATAACATCAATAAGTCACAGGTCTACAAAATATGTGCTGCTATAAGAACAATATTTAATACAATTTATTTATTAACAGAATTCGCGACATATTCATTTAAAATAAAATAATAGTAAAGTATTTTGGAAGCAAAGTTTTTAGTACGTGTTCAGTGATGTGTACTTTTACACATATGAAAACTTTGTTAATATATAAACCAACGGACGAAGCCGCGGTAAGCAGCTAGTGATACATATATGTACTATAATACATTAGTCGATCGTCATAATAAATCGTTATATGGGCCAGTAAAAGGTAATTCCAGTTTGGGTTTAACATGAAATAAACATAAGAATAAAGAGATCTAATATAAGAAAACACTCTTATAAAATCTGGATAATATTGTATCTTTGTTTTAATTATCATACCGACTCACTATTTGCACGTCGCGGCTTAATGAGAATTCGTTGCCAAGTTATGTGTAATTAAACACAGTTATATGATACGTAATTATAAATTTGACTCATATTGTAGCCAAATTTTAAAGTTACAAATGTAATAATAATTAATGTTATTCTTTCATTACGAGACGATTTTTTTTTACAATTCTTATTCCTATAGAATGTATCCTCCAAGATTTTCATATTCTTTTAAATTAAATGATGATTTCAGTTACATTGAAGCATATATAGGGACGAAGATTTAACTGCGATCTTATTTTTCACTAAATATATAATAGTTACTTTAAAATACTTTTATAAATAACTTGTTTTTTTTTAATATGTTATTAAAGACCGAAAATATAAATTACTGTGAAGATGATCCTAACTAACTATATACATATATATTTATATATAACTAGCTTTCCGCCCGCAGCTTCGCCCGCGTGGAGTTCAGTTATATCGCGTTTCCAAGAGAACGTTTCAAAATTCTGATATCAAAACTATCCTATGTTCTTTCTCAAGGTCAACACTATATCTGTACCAAATTTCATTAAAATCAGTTCAGTGATTTAGGCGTGACATCGTAACAGACAGACAGAGTTACTTTCGCGTTTATGATATTAGTAGGGATCTATATTGAGTTAATGTATAGACTATTCGTGTATAATAAATGTCTTGCTCGTGTTATTTACGTAGATTATCCTAAGTGACCCTTACAGAGTTTGGGAGGTCCAGATTATGATTATATTATGTTAGGGCTGATTAAATTTTGTCGATGACGTCTACATTAATATCAATATGAAAATTATTATTCTTAAGTGGTTCAGGCAAATATCCATACGATTATGTGGGTAATAAAGCAGGGTTGAACAATCAACAATTGAATTATTATATGTTATTGCAATGAAATTAAATTAAATTTATTTATTAGCTCACGATAATTTAGAAATATATACACACATAATTGATATTAAAAGAAAACGTAATAAACGCATTGTATTTTGTTTATTTATATTATATAAAAAAGTTTTACCTGCGCATTCTGCCGGCATCCAAAGAGTACGCCAGAAAATTAAGAAATCGATAGCGGTAGATGATAAATAACAAGACCGACTGACAGACACTCACATTTCGTCTGCCCTTGGTCACGGTTGCTGAAAAGTAACCGAAACGTCACGAGTATGTAGTTTTTACAATAAGAAATACGCTAGTATAATTCCGAAAAATATGTTTCATTTAAATGAATTTTCGCGAAGATCTTAGATCTCATTAAGTTTTACATCGTGAAAGTCTTTATCCCTGGACACGTAATCTGTTAAATATTTTCCACATAAACAAAATGAAGCGAAATTATTCGAATGAGATTTAAATGTATGTAATAACGGCTTGTTAATCTGAGTCGCGTGTTCATTAAACTATGTATATTCTGAACACTATTTATTGCTCTATCAAGAGTGTTAATATTCATTGTATAATAATTTGATATTAATTATTATGTGAGATCTATACATGATCAATTGGCCATAGTGTCGTGTGGACGAATGTGTTGTAGTTTTTTTTTAATCTCAATACATTTGCATCATAATCGATTTATTTGTGAGAGCCGTCGTTTATCCGTAAATTATATTTGTAGTACACTAGAATTGCTTCCTTATTCACTTTATATGTAAATCGTTTTAATATTGCTTTAAAAAATACGTAATTATACGTAACGCATTTTCACTTTATATTTCCGTATTCTTCGTTGAAAACGTAATTGTGTTCCAACCTTGAGAATAGTTATTGAAATATAAGTATGTATAGATAGATAAAGATTTCTGTTAAATATATATAGGTAAGTCTAAATGAAATTAATATTTTAGGAATACTACGTCTTATTTGATTATTTTTAAAACTACATACTCCCAATGTTTCGGTTACTTTGTAGCAACCGTGATCATGGCCATATAAAGTTTTAAAAATAATTAAATAAGGACATAGTAATCCAAAAATATTAGTTTAATTTGAAGTAATACTCGCGAAAGTCTTGCATTTCATTATAATTCAAGCACTTGTTATTTTCAAACTACTATAAGATAAGTCTTCTGATTGTAAGTGAATTACTATATGAAAGTCTTAGACCTTCTTCTTCCTAGCTTTAGCCAGGGTCTGCCTAAAAGTCTGCCTAAAGTCTTAGACCTTATTAGTCATTATGTATGTCTGTATGTACGTAAATCCTCGATATTTCTTAACAGAAACGCATGACGTTAGAGCATGAGACAGCTCGCTCGACATCAGCCCTCACATGGGTGGGTTTGGGTCTCATGGGGGTTCAGTTTGGGGTTCTGGCCCGTCTCACCTGGTGGGAATACTCATGGGACATCATGGAACCGGTCACGTACTTCGTGACTTATGGTACGGCTATGGCGGCGTACGCATACTTCGTGCTAACGAAACAGGTGACTTGGTATTATTTTATTTATTTATTAACACCAACAAGACACACATTAATAAAAGAGAAAAATACATTATTGAACAAGTAATCAAAAAATTAAAATGTTTTCTTAATTATAGGTGTTCCACACATTTCAAAGAAAAATAGACACGTAACATGCAATTATTATGTTCTTACTTCGTATAGTGTTCTATTTATTTCTATTACAGCTTACTGGTTCCGTAAATATTGAACTTTAAACACGAATTCTTATAACAAACTTTATTCTTTTACATTAAAATTCAAATAGGAAATGTAACTTCTTGAATATTAGGATGGTAACGCGACGTTCGAAAAGTTACAACTTCAAGAATTTACATTCTTTAATATCTATCTATCTATTCAATTTAAGTATTTAGCTAAATATTTTATATTCACAAAATATAAGATTTCTTATAGTAATTTATTGTTTTCATTGCTATATGTATGGGTGTTAGTTTAATTTTTTTTGATTATTTTTTTCAATGTACTCTTAATTTTTTCAGGAGTACATTCTACCTGATGTCAAGGATAGACAGCATCTAATCACCTTACACAAGAAGGCGAAAAAGATTGGTCTCGACATAAATCAATACAATCATCTTAAAGATGAGGTAATATATTTATACATAAAACTAAAATAGACTTAGTCTGAGTTGGCATCGTCATACACGGAGAGTTAAAAGTTTTTTATTTACTTAACTTCACTTACAGAGTTAAATGCTTAGTATTAAGTGTTGTTGGAAAATTAGATTACACAGTGCTAAGAAGTTTTTCCTTTTACAATTGAGTTCTAAAAAGTAACTTTCTCTACGATACTAGCAACATTACATAGTGCATACTTTGTAAACACTTGTATGAAAAAAAAAATCGATTTCATATAATCAATTTGATAATAATAACATAGTCTCTTTAATTTATAAATTAGTCATTAATATGAAGGTAGAGAATATTCAAAAACATAAAGTTATAATCATTAATAATATATTAATGTTTATAACTTTATGTTTTTAAACATTAATAATTCGATTGTATTCATTGCATTAGTTAATCTATTTCTTCGTACTAAATAACACTATGAAAATGACAGCGATTAATTTCATATCCAGGTTGACAAGTTACAAAAGGATTTGGCGCGTTTGCGGGACCCCCTTCAGATACATCTGCCAGTGAACAGAATGGACGAAAAACGCTCCCCGCTAACAAAGATCAAGGATATGCTCGAAGAAACGACCAAAAAGATGAAAATAACGTAATATATATAGCTACTAGCATGTCTATTGAATTGTTCGACTGCATTTTGTTATTTATGTTATAAGAACTATTGTGTACTACATAATAAAACAAAATATTCATTTATGAAATCTTGCCATTGTGTTTTGTATTAAAATAACTATATATGAACAAACACTTTGTTATAGCTCAAATATATAAGCACAAATGTATTAAAAGTAAGGTAGTTGAACATTTTTTTATTTAAATCTACCCGCATTATTGTTAAATGTTTTGTATGGTACACAATGTGGTTCAGTGTTGAAATTTTTTAGATACATTTAATAATTAATAAGATATTATTTATTGAATTTTACCATATATATACTTTGGTTTGTATTAGATCTGTTTTAATTAACTTTATATACAGAAATGTATGAAATTGGCTCTTATTTATGGCTATAATATTCGCTGTCTTTTTCCCTTCAAATGAGGTAGAGAGAGATGGAGATATAGACAAATATATCAGAAGTAATTTATTGTATTTGATTTTATTAGATAATTTTTTTAGTTAAAAATGAGCTCAAAAGTTGTTTCCTATATGTTAAGAAAGACCTAACATAATTTCTTTGTTAGTGCCAATTGAAGAGCTACTTAGTTGTAAGTAATTTTTGTTTTCGTAATCAAATTTTTTTGGGTAAATTATTTATTTTCTAGTCCGTAACATCTTGTTCCTGTTTGTATTTCGTTTTTAAGTGTGACAATTAACTGATGTGAATTTTTTCTATGTAAAATATATTTTTTTGGTCTCGATTTGTGAATGGATAACTTAAAATGGTTATTCATTTATTTTATTATTAATCAAATAAATCTCTGATAGATTTTTTTCTACATTTTCTTTATCACTAACATTACAAACTCACTAACTTCCTACAATATTTTTATTGTTATATTTACTCTTATGAAAAACTATTTTTAATATTTTTTTATGCTTACAACTTTCTAGAATAAAATTCTTAAAAGCCGTTACGAATAATGAAGGCTGTGAAATTAATGTGAAGCCATTTCAAGAAAAAAAAAATAATGTTAATATGTCACGTTAAATGTCATTAGAGATAAAATTTTATCATTTTCGCTAAATATATAATATATTGTCATAATCGCACTGTCCATTTCTTGGTATAAGATATATCTTGTTACAGCTTATTTTAGACTTATACGGTGTAAGCTACAGTCTAAGACTTGTATATAAGACCAGTCCAGTATAAGCTTCGATCTAATACTTGTATATAAGGACCAACTGCAAAGTAAGCTATGGTCTAGAATTTGTGTTAAAGTCTCGAGTCTGGTCTGAGCTACGGTCTAACCTGTAAATAAGTCTCGAGTCTAGTCTAAGCTATGGTCTTATACTTGTGTATAAGTCTTAAGTCCGGTCTAAGCTTGTCTCATATATATTACTCCTGTCAGTAAGAATATAAGCGCACACTTCTTAATAATTTCAATTGACGGTTAAATTACAGGTTATACCTTGATATAACAATTCAAAGCACTAAATTAATTGTTAATATTAATATTATATTACACAGAGTACTGTTGTTTAACCGTCGCGAGGCTTCATCTTGTGATTTGCTCTTTGCCTATTAGACTTTCTTCAACTATTTTCTAATATATATAAAAAATTTATATACTTAGCTTTTAAGTCAGAGCAAAGCTTCTGTTCAAATCGTTTACTGTAGCTTAAAAGAATAGATTTTTTGAATTTTTAGTAGAAAAATATATTCTATAAATTATTAAAAATAATTTGCACTGATGTTTCAATGTCATTATTTAATACAGATAATTAAGATATTTTATTATGAGTGTTATTTAATTAAGTTAGATTTTATTTGTACGCGCGACACTGCAGTGTCACTTGAGTTTTGACTATTTCGGACTAAGGTACATTGCAGTTAAATGTTCTTTATTTGGGAATGTATTTTGTGAATAATTTGTGTGTAGATTACATTTTCAATTATAAAGTAAAGAAAAAGCAAGCAGTTTCTAAGAAATTCTTAATTATAATAATTGAACTGTAATCTACCAAAAGCTCTATAAATATCGACTTTATTTAATCTTGCATGTAGGTAGGTTATATGTTTAGTATTGTAACACATACATACTCATATTTATTACTATTGAAAATTGCCAAACTATACTTGAATTACGCATTTCTTGTTAATCATATACGTATCATGAATGTGAATATAATTCCCTGATATAAGACTCTTGCTTTGTAAAGTCAAACGTCGTTTTAAAGGGTGTTATATTTGTATTTGTGTATATTTGTTGTCAAGGTTACGGAGCGAGGTGAAGTCGCTGAACAAAATCAACCAAACTCCTAGCAACAGTTACTATTTTGCATTTTGTTAAATTTACAGTCGTGTTCGATTAAATTTGTAAAAAAAAATATCTTCGTGGTTTTATTAAAACCCACACATACTTCATGGGTGTATGAATGTTGGTTTCTTTTGAAAGCGCCATCTATTGACCGAATTAAACGCTACGGTGATATAGCTTAGAACATTAGGACACAACTTACATCTGTTCAATTAAACGCAATAAATATTTGAAATCTTTATTCCTTACTATTTTAATTATACATAATTTGGGATTCTATAATTCGATGTGGAGTATGTTTGGTCATTTTCCAAAGCCTCTGATGGTGATATTGGTTTGGAACCGAAGGGATATAGATCGATGCTTTGTACATGAGCTCGTACAGACACACCAGGAGGTATGCCGAAGTATTCTTCACCTATATTCCTAATGATCGTTGTGCCAGGTTTCGTGTGATGTATATTGAATCCTACAGCAAATTCTGGTTTACTTTTATCACCGGCGTAATTGTCGTTATTACTATTCGTTTCTTGGTAAGGTTTTATCGGTTTAAACGGTTTCTTCGACGGTCTAAACGGTTTGTTGTCTGGTCGCCACGGTTTGCCTGTAAGTTGTAATCATTACTAAATTCTTTGGTGCGTTCTTTTGCTGTGCTCTTGTGCCGTGAGGTTGGTGTAATAAAAACCAGTTTGATGGTGAATAATTATTTATTGCAACAAGCAATATATAAAAGTAATCCCAAAAAGTGCTCTCCGTTCTGTGCATTTCGATTGATTATTGTGATCTTGTTTTATCATTAAATGGCACATTGATTTTTCGATATAAAATTTTAAACACCCTTCTCAATTGTAATTACAAAGAGTATAGATGTTATCTATCAGAATATAGGTGTTCCAAAGACAGATTAATAGTTCCAAAAAAATTTTTCGTTATCAAAGTAATTCAACAAGATCACTAATGTCAATCATTTGACAATATCCGTGCTATTCATCACCTGGTCCTTGAGTTGGCTTTTGATTTTGAAAACTAGAAGCGTCCTCGTCAACGTAACCCAATTCTGTATTATCGGGTTCTTGATTAAAACTTGGACCTGTGTCGTAACCGTTGCTATCTGAATCATCAGGAGTTTCAATGACTGTTGAAATGCTACCAGTATTACTAGGTCTCTCTGATTCGGAAGGAGGGAAAGGAGGTGGTTTAACGTGCCCTGACGCTGCAGTGCCATCGGGTCCTGGAACGAGACGGAACAACAGAATAATTACTAATTACTGAACAGAATCCATCAAATGATATTTTTTTATACAAACCTTTGAAGACATCGTCGCTACTTTCATCGTTGGGAGCGAAAGCAGGTGCTCCAGCGCTGCCCCCTGCGTTAAACGCCGGATCATAAGGACTAGGTATAGTTGGGAAATAGGATGGAATGAAGGGATCGTTGCTGTTCTTCACGATTCGATAACCAATACCTGGACCCGCTATATAATGTACTGTCCTGTAAAAGATGAATCATAAGCAAAAATCAATAGAGTCACACATAAAATCATTACCCATAAAATGAAATTACTATAGACAATAAATTTCAGATATATTTGCTTAATGATTTGTATGTATTTATTACCTTTGTACACCTTTGTCATCTAAAAATGTGTAGGATCCTCTAACGTTACCGTGTGAGTCACTACTTTCCGTTCTCCGTTGATCAGGTCCGGCAGAAATGAATCTATAAAATAATATGTTAGAATATGATTTATGGAAACAGTAGGAATTAAATTATAACAATTATATACCTATATGAACCATCTAATCCTCTTTGTACCGCAGTACGTCCTCGAGATTTGCTCTCCCCTCTAACTAGAGGCGCTCGGTGAAAAGGTGACCCAATAAGACTGGGCACGTCAGGGTTGGCTGATGATACATGAAAACCTGTATCACGACCAGCTATGTAGGACACGTCGTGTCGCTCTCCGATGTCATCCACGTAGGAGTAATGACCTAACATTAAAATAAAACTGATTAATTGTGTCAATATAATTAAGTTTCTAGAAGTTTTTCTCCTATAGTAAACTAAAGTCTTGAGCAAGCGGATTAATGCATTCCCAACGAGGGTTGATGTCGGGCAGGCGGCCGGTCGTAAAAACAATTAGCCAAAACTATTCACAACATGTAAGGCAGACCGTCATTCAATGTGCCGTATCAATTATTATTCCTGGTATGATAATAAATAACCTTTGACATCTCCTCTGCTGTCAGCATTCTCGTTTTTGGAGTAAGTCCTAGTTTCTATTTTGTACGCATAACTGGGATCTTCGTTGGGATCAAAATAGGGATCGTCTTTATTTCCAATGGGACCTCGCGGCCGTTGATCCAGATCTATCTTTCGATGAACGTTGGGACCCTTGGCGCGAAATCTGAAATTTACCATAGTTAGTTCTGGCATTATTATAAAAATATATTAATATTAAAGAGAATACAGTCAGTGGTGGCCTAATGGTTAAAAGGCCCGCCTCTCGTTGCCGAAGACGCGGGTTCTAACCTGACCCGGGCAAGTACCAATGAGATTTTTCCGAGTCATATAAATTTTCTAAGATTAATTAGACATCACTAATTAATGCTGATTCCCAAAAGAGGGTTGATGTCAGGCAGACGGCCGGTCGTAAAACAATTATTAGCCACAACTATTCAAAACATGTAAGGCAGACCCTGGCTAAAGCTGGGAAATTACGAGGTAGAAGAAAAGATTAAAGATAATATTACCCTCTAGGTCCAGCAGTATAAATGGTTTCTTTGACTTCGTCAGTACCAGGCTCTCTGGCACCGAATCTTCCTCCGACTAATCCTTTCGAATTACCTTGCGCCAAGTGGTAACTGCCACCACGATCTTTGTTTGCATAGCTATATACAAAAACTGATGTTAGTATTGAATAATTATTATCAGTAATGCTGTAATTTAACATGCCTTGGATTAGTTTAATTTCGAAAGTAATAGATAGCAAAAATTTAATATAACATTAAAGTGATATTCAATACATCCATGTATATTATTTAGTAAACAAAATCAATATCTTATACTTTTGTATAATAAAGATACTATTTCCTACAATACATCATTTTAAGTTTTCAGAAGCGATTAACCTTTTTAGCTAAGTTTTTTATTTTTCAGAAACCTTTGTGTGTAATGTCTTAGTTAAGACATCAATATTCCAGACTGTTTATGAGTTTCGATTTATAAACAGTCTGTAATATTGATAAAATAAAAATATTTATTGAAGAGAAAATATTTTTTCTATAGAAAATTCTCATTAAATACCTACTAGTTATTTAATAAGATTTAATATGAAGCTGAATTTAGAAAAAGTAATTAGGAGATTTTAAGTAGGCTGAAATTTGAGCTTGCCTGATTAGTAATTTGAACAATTTTGTTATTTGTAGATGGTATTCACATGTAATTAATGAATATCTTAATTCGTCAATTAGCCGTCTATGAAGGCTCTCAGCGGTATAGATTGTAATTAAGATATGGACAAATAACACAATGTAATAAGACGTAATACATGACAAGCGCTGTACATTTTTAAAGCTAATATTTATTCATCCTTTGTTATTCAAATAATTTATAAAATCCAGTGATCTCGTTAACGATTTTTGGATTTAAATGGTACGTTAACAATGCAAAGTGATTCAATTTCAGTATACTGTGGTTATTATTGATATGCTTTATAAAAAATCTGGTAAAGAAGGCTTTATATAAGGATTATACATATATCACTCATATTTCTTAAATATCACTAATTAATATTACTAACTATTATATCAATGCGTTTTATGTTTATAACAATAAGGACTAAGTACGAATAATTAAATTAACGACCTCGAAAATCAGATCTTACTTTCTTAATACAATAAGATTTACTTAAAGTGAAAAAAAATGTAGGTAAAATATATCCTATTTAATAAGATCAAAAAATCTCACCCGAAATCAAAAGATCCATCAGCGTTAACATTATTAAAGTCACCATCATTAGTCCTGGACTTCCCCGGAATAACTTGAGTCCTGACGAACACACACACACTCAGAACAACCACACTATATGTCCAAAACATATTGACACTGTCACCTCACAGACGTCTTGAAGACAACACGTTAAGACTTTATGTATGGAAATAAAAAACAATACCCGCTTATATATGGCGCTAAGATTGAACATCTAACAGAGTTACGACGCGTGAAAACGGATGGACGTCATTGTTGTTCATGTAAAGTATGGAAACCACTTCCAAGTTCACTGAAGCTATACCTTAAAATATATACTATTTGCTTGTATCATCTACATTCCACAATCACCTTTATCTTTGTCAAAACCTGCAGTTTAATTGAGTTTTTTCGTTACAATAACATTGTAAAATTTGCAATGATAGTTTTAAGTATCAAAACGATTTTTTTTTATAGATTTGACCGTAGTGAGTTATCAGTAATGTTAGAGCTGAAGATATAGCATTGTAAAATATATTATAGCATGTTGTGTGTGAACAGCCTCGTGGCCGTTGTGATGACCAGATCTGAGGGCCACCACATCCTCCGCTACCAGGAACACATCTTGTGAACTTATTCATATTAGATATTTACTCAGTCAGAGCAAATTAACTATTAATTACATATAAATGTTTAATTTGTTAGAAAGCTGTTAGATATTTTTCAATAGGTATATCTTTTTAATGTAATATTGAACGTAGCGTCTTTTTTCCTCATACGTATATATAAATTATTAAAGATTTATATAAAATTAGAACATGTTTCAAATAATTTTGGTATATGGAGATAAAAACAAAAATGAGGAAGACGAAAACAGATTTAAAATCAGCAAAAGAACTGTACATTAATATTTATTTTCATATTTTTGTCGGTAGCAAAACCAGCCAACTAAGACATTAATTGTCACCAACTATATTCCTATCATAAAGTTATAGGCTCTGAAACAAGATGTATGCGTCGGATTTAAACTGCTCAGAAGAATTTCTATTAAACAAAATTCCCTGAAAACTATAGTCGTTTATTTGAATACATCCATACCAGCTTTATGATGGAAAAGGGATATTTTAGTACAAAGATTTGGTCTGAATATGTTATACAATAATTATGATATCAGTTATCGACTGCACTAATATCCGCATCCGGCGTTTGTTAGCACTTCCTCGATGGAGAAGAAGAAGAGCCTTGAGGTGTTGCACAAGTTTTATATATCTAATTGTGATGAGACGAATCTGGCGCGTTTCCATTGTTACTGTTCGCTGTTTATTATGATTTTTGTACATAATATGTACTTTTCACATACTCTTATATGTAATATAATATTTTAATGAGATACTCGTATATTTAATTTAATAGGTACAGTAATAGGATATAGATAGATAAAGAAAACTGCAAAGATTAATAAAATAATATCGGAAGAGTCAAGACCTAATCAAATTTTTATTTAGCATCTTCAAAAGGATCTACTTAATTATGCACATTATGTTTAATGAGTGGACTTCTCTTTCACTAAGCAGGTTTCGCGAAGAAATCTTAATATTTATATTTAATTTTCGATCTTTTTGTAAATAAATATGAGTTGACTTCTTGCTTACAATTACTTCATGGTATATCTAAGACAATATAATAATATTGTAAGATAAAATAAATGTAATTATTATAATCACAATCATTACTTCATGATCATCCCTCAAATTATATGATATTTTTTTTTGGATCACAATTTTGGTCTGCTTTAAACCAATTTTAAACACCTGGGCTATTTTATTCAATTTTTCTTTAGTTCTTTTTGTACATTTAATGGAAACATAAAGTTATGGCCTTTCCGGTGCAATCATCACAGATTATACCACCGAATTGTGATCACTCAATTGTAACAACATTCTCACTGAGACGTGGCTCAAGATACGTTGGACTACATTAACATACGTCCTTACATCTGATCATTGTTTCCAAAATATATATACTTACTTACTCACTTATTCTACGTATATCGTAGAGGCATCTTCGAAAATTGCACAAGAGGATACTAAGCATCTGATATATTTCTTTTAACTATTATTAAGTCGCCAATTATTATTATGCTTTTTAATATAATCAATATAGAACTTTGTTAACTTTGAAACATTTTAATAACTAGACATTTGCTTATATTATCAGTATCTACTAAAGTGTTTTTATTCTTAGAATCACGTGTTATTAAGCAAGAACAATATATGATGTATGTATGCATATAATTTGTAAGTAAACCGTCTATTATAGTGTAGGTATCATCTTTTGTTAGTTCCATGTGTAAATTGCTAGGGCGGAGGTTAGAGGGCTCACAATGGCTGAAGGTCATCAGATCTTCACGGTGCTGCGTACGACTGTTAGCGAAATTAACAAACTATACCTTAAAATAAACGAAACTAATAATTTTAGATTATTACGTATTATTTTATTAATCTTTAAAACTACAAACAAGACCAAGTGATAGGCATTCACTTCCCCTCTCCCCGTGATCATAGTTGCTGAAAAGTAACCGAAACGTCGGAAGTATGTAGTTTTAAAATAGTAAAATCGATGTAGTATAATCCGAATAATATTAGTTTTACGTAAATGAATACTCGCAAAAGTTTTAAATTTCATTATACATATGTACTCCCGATGTTTCGTTTACTTTGAAGTAGCCGTGATCACAGGCAGATGAGATGTCTTAGATCTCATTGTAAACCTTACACTCTTAAAGTATTTAGCGAATTATTGTCAATACATGATAGAATCTTTGTTGTACTTTAACCAAATCTATATGATCCACATCTTGAAATCTTTCTAATAACAGCTTGAGTGGTTATAAAACTGATTTATAATAAAATGATCGAAGTTTATAATTTGAACATAATGTTATACGAATGTTTAACAATGTATATTTAATATGTTGCAATATATTTTCAACACAATAATGTTATCTTAACAATATTAGAAATACAATGAGAACAATTCAACAGAATTATATAAAAAAACTACAATTCTTATATCCCGGATTCATCAAAGTATCTTGTTAGGAAAAACCTGAGTAATTAATGTATTTTATCTAAATGATCACAATTGAATTTAGTAGGTACGGTTTGGGAGGTCGTGGGACATACATACACACAATGCAGATAGCGATCGTCAATTTTGTTAGCCGCTACGACCGTGCTTTATGAGGAAGCAGGTTGATTATGGACATTTTATTACTCTGTGAATAATTCGGCTTTTGATAATTATAATTCATAATTATCTTGTTCCACTAATTATATTTTTATTACATTGAGATTGAGATTTTGATTGTTTTTAAATATTTATCTAAGGATTTCAGTTTATTAAGCATAAAATAATTTTACAGTACATACCTATAAGAAACAAGTTGTCAAGACAAATTGTACAATCCTTCATTATATTTTTTCTGATATATATGTCGGATTTATTACAGATTCCTTGATTTTAAAGAGAGAGACGCCAGCCTCGCTGTCGTTACAAATCTCACTTTTTCTAGAGCATTTGATGATATTTTAAAATGAAACTGCAATTGATCTTAATGCTCTTGTATTTCTCAAAGATTCTTCATAATAACATGCTTCTATGATACACGCTCACTGAACTCTGAATTATCAATCCTGAATTCTCAATTCTGGAGTCCGCCGTCGTGAGTCCAGACGTCATATTTTTGATTCAAACATAATTCTATTCTCTTTTGATTTCGTTTTACTTTTAACAATAATCATAAATACTAATGAGGTTTAATAAGAATTGATGGCAGCCTCTAATTATTTTCAAGTCGCATCTGTTATTAAAGCTGGTAGCGCCGATACGGCCATTCTGACAGGCGGTGCGTGCTCTGCACCTGCCTGGTTATGTGTTCTCTCTTGGTTGGTTTTCGTTATGTGCTTGGACCAGTCGCGCGTCTCGTAAAGTAGATGGGACAGGATCAAGAATTGATGCTTCATCTTCCGAAGTCATGCCGATACGGTCATACTGATGTTTGCTCTGTGATAAAAGATAAATGCTTTTGTAGTCTAGGTACTTCCACAGTAACCCTAGATAACTTTATATTGTTACAATTATGAATATCAAAATTTTTTTTTTTGATCGTATGGGTAACGTTGTTTACTACAACACAACTTTGAGATGGTCATAATATCACGTCCAATTATCTAAGCTACATGGCTTTGGGGGCATCACACGAACATTCATAACATATTTGTCATAGGACGTCTCCGCCCGCCTACAACATTTTTTTTTATTTATTTGTCATAGGACGTCTCCGCCCGCCTACAACATTTTGTTTTTATTTATTTGTCGTAAGACGTCTCCACCCGTCTACAACAATTTTATTTTATTAACCATTTTATTATTATTATTATTTTGTTATGGTTCGGATCCGCCATCAAAGGCATCTTTTATAGTAATAATTATAATTTTATAGTAATATATCTCAAAGTAAGTGTTTCAAAATCACACTTTTATCTACGACATATGTAATGCGTTTGAAATGAAGTGAATTGAACAAAATGAAATACGCTCACCGGATAACTATTAGGTAGTCGAACAGTCTACCTTGCTGCTCGTTTACTTATACTCTCTCGTCACTCCAGTGGAACTTCGTCTGGCTGGTCACGAATCACATTTCAAAGTGTTCCTCGGTTTCTATTACTTTTTTTTTTTATCTTCTCTCCGCCTCGACCATCCTGTTTTAAATGTGTTGCTTCGATATCCACGGACGGATTGTCAAATTGTAATCTAAAATAATACTATTTATAGGAATAATAGAGCCCGGCCTCAATCCTCGCAAATAGTTGACGATTTGTTTTCTATTCCCGGATATGTTATTTGCCATTGATTCTTGTATAACGCACCCCTGAAATCATGCATTTTATTAAGATTAAATTTACCAGTTGATATTAAATTTAAATTCGGCGTGATATCCTTTTTCCGTCGACAACATGATTCAAACGTTTGACCACGGTTAGCAGAAATGGAACAAAACTTAGCTGTACTCGCAATAGGTGTATTTGATTAGAAATTTGGAGTCAATTATGCTATCATTTGAATTATAACATCGTTTTTTAGTGACACTGCTGTGTGTGTCGACCGACATGTTAATATTACTGTGAAGGGTATGTCTACAGTCGATTATAAATAAAGCCGTGGCGCCGGCTGTTTGATATCAAAATCATGTAACTTCTTATAGATTGAGTGACTTTATATTTACTCATAGTTTCCCAAGGCCGCTCTTCGTCATCTCATGGTATTCTCAAGGATACAGCAAGGATCTGTGGTTAGCTCAAGGGTAATACGTGAGTAGCTCAGAGGTACGCTTTCCACATCTGTGGCGTAGACTTGTCTTTTCACGGCTCCACAGGGCATCCCTACGTAATCTCATGGTTCTCTTTCGGATACATTAAGGACCCGTGGTTAGCTTAAGGGTAACTCGTGATTAGCTCAGAGGTCACGCTCTCCAGATCTATGGTGTAATACTTGTCTCTTCACGGCTCCACAAGGCTTACCTACAGAATCTCATGGTTCTCTTGAGAATACACCATGGACACGAGATTAGCTCACGGAAATTCCCTAAACACTAAAGGCAACATAGAGCTCTCATTATTTCCGAAAAAGAAGAGCGCGTCTTATCTCGTAAGTTTTAAAGATATCACTATTAAAATAGTTTGCCTCTAGTTTTGTGATAATAAAATTAATTTCGTTATCTATTTCTTGTTTAGCCTTCAACCAATGGTCTGTTATCGCGGCGAAATGAAAGCATTTTTGATTCGAAATAAGTGGCAAAGGATATCTATCAGACACCGTATTCTTATTTAATTCTCTCTATGACATTATTCAAATGATTTTTCAGTTCCAATCTTGTTTGTTTTAAGAATGAGATATTATTTTTAATCCCTATAGAATACCTTAATGTAAGCAGATCCTGTCTAATCATAAGGTCGTTGAAAATACATGAATTCACAACATGGAAAACTCACTTTACTGAATCACTCTTAAATTGTTTAAAGAATTTAGATATTACATTTAATGCGAGCGTTACTTCACCTTCTAATGCAATTGTATTATTATATTGTGATTTACTTAGAAATCTTATCTTTCAAAAAAAAATTTTTTTTATTTTTTATTTTATTAAAGAACATTCGGCACCGGAGTCGAAACAACATGAAAACCTCTCACCGGTTTCACTCCAGAGCTGAACCATATCTGGATTGAACAGATATTCACGCATCGTTCGGTCCATGCTTAATTGGGCCTTGAATTCAACACTGGGGCAGCGCAGCGCGAAGTAGACTCATTAACCATACTTGAAGCAACTAGGAGTAATCATTTACTTCGGCGCGCCAGGTTCTTTTAATTGTTGAGAGGAGCTGGTATCTGAAAACTCAGGATTTGTATTAGTATTTGGTCAAGCCTGCTATGGCATCAACCTTCAGTTAGAACGTGCCCGTCTTGTCTCAGTTATAGAGCCACATCGTCGCATAATATCTCCGCTTAATATCCATACTACGTGGCTTCCAATCGTATTCACATATTTGAGCTCACTCCTTTTAAAGATTTCATTTTCATTTGCGAATCATGGTTCCTGATTTACTACGTATTTATAGCCATGTAGATGTGTTGACACCATTCCCAAAGACACACACTACCACCGGGGTCAAACGATGATAAAAATGATCTTCTTAGTAATTTTAATATTATCCCTTGATTTATTTGTAAACGTTTGCACACGCTCTGCATTATTGACATCAATGAATGGCATGAAAAAAATTTTCTTTTAGCGTTCTTCAATACGCAAGTTCTCCACATGGTTATTTTCTTTAGCTGGATAGGATTTATAAGACCGGCATGATCACGAGAGCGATCCCACTTCTGATGTCGGATTTATTACAGATTCCTTGATTTTAAAGAGAGAGACGCCAGCCTCGCTGTCGTTACAAATCTCACTTTTTCTAGAGCATTTGATGATATTTTAAAATGAAACTGCAATTGATCTTAATGCTCTTGTATTTCTCAAAGATTCTTCATAATAACATGCTTCTATGATACACGCTCACTGAACTCTGAATTATCAATCCTGAATTCTCAATTCTGGAGTCCGCCGTCGTGAGTCCAGACGTCATATTTTTGATTCAAACATAATTCTATTCTCTTTTGATTTCGTTTTACTTTTAACAATAATCATAAATACTAATGAGGTTTAATAAGAATTGATGGCAGCCTCTAATTATTTTCAAGTCGCATCTGTTATTAAAGCTGGTAGCGCCGATATATACTATTTAGTCAGTGGTGGCCTAGTTGTTAAGAGGCCCGCCTCTCATGCATGAGGGCGCGGGTTCGATCTTGGCCCGGGCAAGTACCAATGTGATTTTTCCGAATCATATGTACTTTCTAAGAGTACTTAGACATCATTGATTAATGCATTCCCAAAGAGTCGGCAGGCTGCCAGTCGTAAAAACAATTAGCCAAAACTATTCACAACATGTGAGGCAGATCCTGGCTAAAGCTGGGAAATTGCCAGGAAGAAGAAGGTATACTACTACTCATTATTATTCGTGTTTTTAACCAATGTAAGTATCTTTTTTAATTAACTATTTTTGAGAACCGACTTTTGATAGATAATTGGATATTTTTTTTGTGTCTCTATATTAGAAGTTTGGGTATTTTATAAATCGTCAACTATTTTTCTAAAATAAAATAACATTGACCAGTTAACAGATATGTCATTTTTGTTTAAATTATAACCGTTCTGTTAGGAAGCGAAGCTTTTCGCCTGTTTTTATTCATAAGCGACTATAAGCCTCACATAATGTATTACAATATTGTCACCTTTCCTTAGCGATGGTGACTTTTCATACTTAAAAATATTTTTTTCCTAGACAAAACAGAATATATAAATATACTTTTAGACATCTACAGCTACGTCTTTCAATATTATATGTAAAATTATAGATGTAAATTTTTTTGTCATATTAAATATTTAGTTCCTGATTTTAAAATTATTCCAATCATTTATGATTAAACATTATTATATTTTTATATATTCACGTTAATTGGGTCCCTGTAACTTTTTATATAGCAATATGTAGAAAATGAGAATTAGATATTTATATCATTGGAGGCATTTGACTCACATAACAAATTCGCTACGATTTACTTATTTAATACCATTTAGGAATTTATTGAAGTGGGTACAATACCAAAATTTTTCAATACTGAAAAGTCTTATATATGTAGTTATAGATGATATTTTTTTTTATTATTCAAATAGGTAAGTATGGATAAGAAATAAAATGATAACACTGCTATATACATTTTATTGATCTTAATATTAAATTAATCTATCAGTTCGTTATAAAGCTTTAGTTATAATTGTCTCTTAGATAATATTAGGTAACCGATCGTATGACGTGTTATACAACGACATTCAAATATATTATTATTACCAATGTTTTTGTATTTTTTATTCAAAATACTTAGTTATTAGTTTAAAATTATTATTTTTTAAATTATATTATAAAAATTTTCGATATGAAACAGTATTTTAATTTCACGAATAGTTTTCACTGTATATAATAATTTTATTATGATGATAAATGGTAACTTATACATATTTATATAGTCTTTAACCTATTATTTAAGGAACACTAAATATTATATTTTCTTAAAATCAAAATTTTAATCTTAATTTCGAATCAAGTCTAACGTATGGTAAATATAGTTTGGAAGACATTCGATGGTAAATTCCCATGTTTCAAAGGGATGGTACATATGATATCTTTTTCAAAGAAAATAAAATATCATTCATTCGTTCATTAATCATTCACGTCATCTATAGGCCTGAGTTTCCGCAGTATTCTCCAATACGGTCAGAAATACACTCAAAAATGTTGAAAGACACATCACAGTTTCGTCCGTTGTCTGAAAAATAAAAAAAAATATATAAAACCTCTTTAGAAAATACAAATGACGTATCATGTAAACCGCGCTTACTTTAATATTTTGATTTCTCGTAAAACTGGTTAGGAATTCAACCTACATTTTTAACTATTTAGTATTTAGGATAGATATTAGTTTCGGTCAGGGAACAAATAGAGAGAGTGGACGAAAGTTGAAAACGTAAAGAGTGCCGTTAAAAAATAAAAACTATGAAAGAGCTCATCGAATTGGTCATAAGGCAATTTTGGTGTTATTACAGAAACAGAATATATACGAATGCTGCGATTTTTCTTGAGATGATTTGGTTAGTAAAGTATAGTAATAAGTCTCATCTGATTAACTCCTAAGTGATCAATACAGTTATGTCACACGTTAAAAAGCTGGAGAAAATTCTTCTGAAAACATTAGCTCTTTCAAGTTCTTCAAATAACCACACAGTATAGACTACTAACCCAACATAGGCATAATATTAAACTAACTTAATATAATATATTCAGTAAATCAAACAAAAAACAATTCATCATCTTGATAGCTAAACATGGGATGCAAACAATTTTTGCTACAATATAGTCGTTTTTATCACGTGAATATTTCAAAAATCCATACCCATTGGCACAGTTCTTGAGAACAGGTCGTGGTTCTTCATGAGACATTCCCTGGAGGCTTCCAAGACTGCCATGAAGTAACCTCTTTCGTTGACACCGTCCGAGTAGAGGCCTACTAGACCCTCGAGGGTAGGGAATCCATACCCATCAACCTATAACAAAATAGTAATTTAAAGATATGTAAGACTTTCGCGAGTATTCATCATCATCAGCCTATCAAAGCCCACTGCTGAGCAAAGGCCTCTTCTCACATGAAGAAGATTAGAGCATTAATCACCACGTTTGCTCAAGACGGGTTAGTGATTTCAAACTTATAATTGTGAAATTATAAGTCCAGGTTTCCTCACGATGTTTTCCTTCATCGTCTGTCATTGGTGTATTCATTCATGAAACTAATATTTTTAGTATTACTATGCGTATTTTATTATTTTAAAAACTGCATACTCCCGACGTTTCGTTTACTTTGCAACAACTTTGATCACGGGCAGATGAGATGTGATATTATATATATAGCATTATTGAAAATATGCGAAATGTTATGAAACCAAAAGGTTAAATTATAAATGTGTCCATAAACAATTTTCCCAAATATTACTATCTGTTTGTTTACTTTTGCAATTTGTTATTCATAATTATTTAAGTTAATTGAAAGTAACCATTTAATGAACAGTTTAAAAAAACTTAAACGTCTTCAACTTATACTTAACTGCTATATATAAAGCTGATAATTGATATAATAATGGTATAGTCTATTATATTATGATTTAATATCGTTATCTAACCCATATTAAATTAATTGCTTATCATAAATTGAACTGGTTTCATAGGTCCTATATGTACGTTGTAAGTACAAGGACCAAGATTTTTTTATGCCTTTCATAATTTTACGACGAGACATGTTTTAAATTAAAAATTTAAAGTCCAAGTTTCGATTTACGATTCAAATTGGTTTGTTTTATGACTCATTGTCGAAACAATTAAATATTAAATTCGTTTAACTCCTTTTTTCTGAGGAATTGTATTATTTATGTTAATTCAATTGTTATGAATTTCAATGAAATTTTTTAATTTAAGAAAAATCACAAAAACTAACAGTAAGTATATACGTAAAATTATTAACATAAAAGAAAAAAGGATATTGTGAAAAAGAATTTGTGTTGTTTGATTTCGTTTTGATTTGATTTTAAATATTTATATTTGATTTGTTGTTCCTCTAAAATTTGAAAAAATGCAATAAATAAAAAAATAATATAAAATAAATTGATAACATAAAGGTTAAATGCACATAATTTTTGAAGTTACTTCACAATACTATAAAATAATGTGAAATAAAATATATCATAGCCATCTATTTTATGGTTCCGTAGCAAGAAAATATTATTTCTCTTAGCAATAGCGAGTAATTAAGAAACTATAGGCTAAGTCTAAAATATAAATAAGGTTTTTATCATTTAATTCTCAAGTCATACGGTACCCTAGTAACTTGAATATCAATCACCAGGGACCGTATTAAAACCTGATTCGCATTACTCCAGTGTGTGACTCGCTTTTATGACAGTTCAGACAATAAATAGAGCGAATTTCTTTTGAATTTAACGACCATCTTTTTTTGTTATAAATTTTATTTAATATCGAAGACGAAGCAGTAAAGCATTTAGCCGCTCTTAAATTATAAATATATGTACTTTTAAAGTTCATCTTATTGTTATTTGTATGTAATTAAAAGAAAATACATTCATGTTCATTATTATCGTAAATTGATGTAAATTTCGTGTATGCTGAGCATTAAAATTAAAATGGTTTTAATTTTATACGATATCAAAATTTGTGGAACATTTTTTTTATTAATAATAAAGTAAAAAGTGACACAGTTATTTCAAAGTGGAGTAAACCGAATCGGTCGAGTTAAAATTATTAACTTTTACATGATAAAAGTGGAGTACTTACCGCTTTCACTTTCCGATAAACGCATTGCAGCAGGCACTGGAAGAAAGATATAGAAATTAAAAAACTTGATTGGCTTGGAAAAGTTGTTATTATTAATACTTATAGGTTTAAGATGAATTTATTACACAGACATAAAAAGGTTATGCAGAAATGCTAAATAATTTGTCTAGCTTATGTGTTTTGCATTTAAACACTTTCATTGAAGAATCTCAACCGTCTTTACTTGTAAAATATTTTAAAAAGGTATTGTTTTATTTGATAAAAAGTGCCCTTAGCTTTTAAATCTATCCAATCTTTTAGATACCTATAAAGCGGAGACAATTCTGAATTTTTATCATATTAAAAATAAAATAAAGTGACATATAAAAAAACAGATTTATAGGTCCGTGTATATGACTTTAAATAACTGAAAAACGATAAAATAAATATATGTAAACTCAATAAACCATCGTAAAAATTTTATAGCATTATATTGAATATCCTATTCCGGACGAATCTTGCTTCTGATAACAAAAAATAGTGATTTTAATTTCTGTACTATATATCTACTATCTTCTTCTAACTGGCAATTTCCCAGCTTTAGCCAGGGTCTGCCTTACATGTTTTGAATAGTTTTTGGCTAATTGTTTTTACGACCGGCCGCCTGCCGACATCAACCCTCTTTGGGAATGTATTAATCAGTGATGTCTAAATACTCTTAGAAAGTACATATGACTCGGAAAAATCACATTGGTACTTGCCATTATATATCTACTATATATATGTATGTATCTGTGTGTGTATGTGTGTGTGTGTTCTTTAGTCCTCACCCCTGCTATCCTTTTCTCGTCGTGTGTAAATGGGACCTCTCGTTTGTTCCTTCTCCTTTGAGCCGGCATCGTGTGCTCTTCCTTAATAACATCTAGGGCCTCTGAAATTATTAAAACATTAGTAGTAATTAATGAATGAATTACAATCAAGACTAAATCTACAACCAGATATTTCTGTTTTTTCAATAGTTATTGCCATAAGAATGTAAAGATATAGAATATAAAATAGTTATAAACGTAAGAAAAAAAAAACACTTATATTTTAGTCGTTGCAGTTATCTCAAGTAAGATAAATACAACTTTCATTTATTTTTGTCTCGTATATAAATATAATATAATAAAACAGAAGGTTAATTTAAAAATGCCATTCGATATTAAATATTAAGTAAGTAGTGTTTATTATTTCGGCATTTTTTTAACTCCTAGATAAAAAAGTGTGAACTCCTAGATAAAAAAAAACTTATAAAGTTTGACGTCGATGTGTGTCTGTGATATCATAGCTCCAAAGCAAAATTAACAGATTGCAATACTGATTTTTGGACTTGAAAGCCAATTTCCGTAATTGTTAATTATATTTAATTAATATCAGGCGTGCAGTCAAAGGGCATGACCCCTTATCCAATAATCATATAACTCATTTATGACCAGTGATTACTCGATTAGGTGTATTAAGTATGTTTACGTGTGCCAGTTAAAAAACAATTTTGATTTTTTTATTTAATAAATTATATTGTTATTGTATTAAATAAAGTAAACCATAAGCCTAACCTATGTACTATACTAGTTTTTGCCCGCTTCTACGTTTGTGTTAGTTTCGGAATTAGAAATGTATAGCTGCCCGATGAAGCTCTATTCCTCGTTAAAGGCAGGAAATAATGAGATTTTGGATTATTTTGTTTTCTTTTTCAATCAGATGAAAAACATCTTACTTCCTTTACCTTGTTCTAACCTATCTCCACTAATTTTCAGCATAACCAGTAAAGCAGTTCTTGAGTTATTCTTGAGTTATTAGTTAAAAAAGTGTTACTTAAACGAATTTGTGTGTGTGTGTGTGTGTGTGTGTGTGTGTGTGTGTGAGTGTGTTAGGGCTTTTGACTAGTAGGAAATATTATACATATATTATTACATGGGTGGTAGGCTGGTTGCATGTTATATGGGCAGTCCGCTTCACTGACCAGTGAACTAGCACTGTACTAGTGACGTAACACGAGTCACTTGACCACTTTACCGATAATGCGATTTATCGATTTTGTAATTGATTTGCAATAGATTATTTCGCATGGTGAAGTTTCGACAGACTTTCTCTTAATAAACATGAAGAAGAATTAGTTCTGGTGTCATCTTTGAAGATAATATCTTTATTGAAATCACATCTTTTTGCTGTCTTTTTCGCGGTTATATTATGTTTTTGGGGATGCTATGGACATATGGACAAAAGGACAGTCGAGTATACATATGTATATGAAATAAAAATATAAAAAAAAATTATGCAGTACAGTAACATCCGAAAAAGTTATAAGAGCTTGAGCATTATTCTGATATTTAAGTAATATAAAGAATTCTGTTACATTTTAATTTCACAACATGATCTAATGATCTAGCCACAGTTAGTTGTCATTTCTCTGTCAGTAGAAAGTGTTAGTTATAATAAAATAGAAATCATTGAATTTCTCCATATATTTTATACATTACTTATGAAATTAAACCCCATTTTTAATAGTGTCCTCAAAAGTTATAAGAGACGGACTTAATTATAAATCAAAAATCAATAGAAACCATAAAAGTAATACCTATTAATATTCCAATGAAGTCATATATGTTTCCTAACATTATTTTTTATTGTATTTGAGATGAAAGAAAATCACGAAAACCATACGTAATATGTTAGGTAGTTATATTTTTTGCTAACCAATAAATAGTTATCTGTTTGAATTAAGAATGTGTCAAGATTTCTTTTTCTAAGTCTCATTTGGAAGGGTTTCAATACTCACAACTATGTATAGTCTGCTATTTCTTAATTTTGTTTCATAGAATACTTTAGTTTACCAAAAAAATTATACAAGCATCAAAGCTTTAAGTGCTTTTCATGTAAAAACCAAAAAAAAAAGTTTTTGAATACACCCCTTGCAAAAAAAAAACCGATAATAGTACAAAAATATTTAACTATACTTATACTTCATAACGGAATCGCGAATTATGAGAATTAATATTATAAACGCAAACCTGGTTCTTTGAACTGAAAAGATCGTTCAACTTTTCATTCACATTAACAGTCAACTGTCACATTTCACGACAGTTGCCAAAATCACATGTTTATTAAGGAGTATTTAATTTATTACACTCTAATAAGAAATTAATCTGAACACAAATGATTATAGTATTTTTGATGGCAGTTTAAAATTTCAGTGGCATTTTTGGATTTGTGGCAAAGACAAATTAACAATTATTATGACACATTTACGTAAAAAAGAAAAAAAATGTCAAAGTGACAGGGTTAAACTTTATCAACAATTATTGCCTCTATTTGTTTAAAAAAAAAAAAAAATTCAATAAGAACCTTTTTTTTTAATTATTAATACTTAATAAACCGAAATCTAGACTCAAATTTAATCAAATCCAATTTCAAAATTAAAGTCACATTAATTTTACGTAAAATATTATTCATTGATTTTGGACTCAATCCTTTTTTTTGTTAATGTAATGGCTTAAGTTGCCTGCCAGTACGCCACGATTTAGGCTGTACACAAACCTGTTTGCATTATAAAGGTTAAATGATATTCAGGGCTGAAATATTTATTACATCATACTTTAAAAATAAATAACTTACAGTGAGATCATATTAACATCTTAAACTTCCTCATATATACCTAGTTATAAACCTCTACACATTATTACACTATTGACATTGTATTTGAAATAAAACTTCTTTGTCATACATATCGTTTGAAATATTCAATGTCTTAAGTACTTAGAAGTCCTTTGTATGTAATCGTTGTAAGTCGGATATTTTACAATAAACAGGTTGACAAAAATCATATCAAAAATTATTCTTTCCGATTGAATAACCCATTTTTATATCGATTTTTATCAAATTCGTGGCAAAATTCATGCTTAAAAATATCATACATTTAAAAAAAATCCTTCAACTAGATATTCAAGAACTTAATACTTATGTATTATCCTTATTGGCTTTATTCTTTACAATAATAATTTTTAATGTTTCTCTGAATACTATTAACCCATTTTAAATTAAAATTTCATATATACATATATCGATTACTGATAATAATTGAAGTATATTCGTAGGAGTTTTTGTTTAAATCATTTTGTCTTATTGACTAGTAGTATACGAAAGATTTTTTTCAACTGAATAAAGTAATCATTTTTTTAACAAAAATACAATGATATTGTGGCGAAACAAATCTTTGTAAACAATCTCTCGAGATCAATTCAAGTGATCTAGTTCATTTTTTCTTGTGTTATTACTCAAAGACTTTGAGTAAAAAGATTTTATGTCGTTAATTAAGCAAATGATTATATCAATGGGAATAAGTTACAAGAACATACAAGTTATAGACATTGTGTACATTTTATTGCAAAATGCAATTTTAATTCACTCGAAGTGGTCTTTTGCAATTATTATTCAAGATCATTCTGTATTGGTTGTGTTATACCTATTACATATGTAGAATGTATGTTTTTTTCTGCTATTTACAATGGAAATGTATTGTGTGTTAAGTATAAAGTTCAGTTCGTTTAAAACGCGATCTTTTGCAACATCCGATATTTCGGAAAGGTTACAAAAGTTACGTTTCTGAGTTAGTGTTTCATTCGTATCGTCAAATATAGTTTATTCAAAACAAATTAAAGTAACTTGAAATTCTAGTATATCTTAAAACTATTTTGACGTAAAATTGTTGTCAATTTTTTTTTTATTTAACATGGAATGCAAACATTTTTGTATACAGCTTATGCAGTTAGCAATATTTTTAATCAAAAATTATTATTAATTCAAATATTAAGCACACATTGAGCAAATAAATTGAAATCTACAAATGTATTTGAAGGTCCAAATTAATTATTTTCATTAAGAGATTTGTAGATATCAGAATATTATTATTCCCAAAGAGGGTTGATGTCAGGCAGGCGGCCGGTCGTAAACACAATTAGCCAAAACTATTCACAACATGTAAGGCAGACCCTGGCTTAAGCTGGGAAATTGCCAGGAAGAAGAAGAAGTTGTATATATCGGAAATTTTATAAATGAAATGTATGTAACTATTTATATTGTGTATAATGGTGACGTATTATTTGATGTAAGAAGTCGATCAACCAACTGCTAGTGTGCGGCGACTTTCACTATCAACCTTGGCTAGTATGTGTGTAGGTTATCTGTTATAATGAAAAACGTTCATACCGTGCTTTATTGCCGTGGTTGTAAGTTTACAAGTGTGCAAACAACTTTATGAACACACAAATAAGGTATAAAAATTTTGGCCTAGAAAAATTTGGACCTACGTCGGTTTGTCTAATGAAACATTGCATAATAAACGAGAGTACAAAATATCAAAAGTAAATGAAAATAAACATTGTAAAAAGTAAATCATTACTTTCTTTTCTTCATTCATATATATTTCGAACGCAATTCATTGTAATTCTTTGGTATATGAAAATAATCAAAAGTTTTTGCAATCAATAAATATATAAACATTAATACAAAGAGCAGATTATTAATTTATTATTTATAGAGAATGTATTCTTTACACATTTATAATCAATTTAAACGTTTCGAATGTTATTTGGATCAAAAATCACACTTCAACAGACACGCCAAGGTCGATACAAATTAAGGCTCACCTTCGTCAATTTATACAATATTTGCATATTTTTAGCACATTAATAGTATATATAATATTTATAAGAAACTATTAAAATATAGACTCATATGAATGTAATTTTTTTATGAGACAGAAAGTCGTAAAGAGACGAAACTACTAAGCATTCCATGGATTCACCGTGCGGGTGCCGGGTCCATCGCGTTGCAGGGAGAGGAGCTTCAACAGTGCCTGGGACTTGCGACCCAAGTGTAGGTTTAAGGGGCCCCTTAACTAACGCGCGTTATACGCTCACCTCCACTGTCCAAGCTCCTCTCTCTACCTAACCAAATTTGAAAAGAACCTACTAGGGCTGCCTTCGATATACGTTCCAAGAATGCATTAATGTGAGTTCTGGACAAGCCCAAGTCCTTTAGTAGGTTGTAGAGAGATTTCGCTGTTATACCTCTCGCTCCCACCTCTACCGCGTACAAATCTACTACGAACCTATTTCGAGTGAGTTCGTTTGTGAGCTCGTAATATTTGTTGACCTTGATGGTATGGTCTTTGGGGATGTTGGTTTCCCAAGGGACCGTAAGCTCTATCATCACTACGCGCTTTAAAATTCGCGAAAACAAAAATATATCCGGTCTGGAGGCCGACGCGCAAATATCCTCGGGGATTTTATATTGCTTTTCATACGTGTCCATCATTATAGTCCAATCCGACGCCGCTTTAAGGATGGAGTAAGGCTTGACGTTTGATTTTGTAGCCCTAGTGCCTTCTCTCACAAAACCTACTGATCGTTCGTTTGTGGTTATTTCCTTTTGCGCTCTGGCTACCGAAAGACTAACCGCTTCACGTATGATTTCTAAAACCCTATCGTGACGACGCGAGTATTGACCGCTGTCCAGGAGTACCTTACATCCCACCAGCAGATGCTTAGCAGTTCCAACTGCCTTTCCACAGATATAGCAAGTTTTTTTCGGTACTTTTACCCCATCTTACTAAATTACTCTGATCTGGGAGAGTCATCTGGAACGCATTGAGATAGAATTTTAGCAATGCTGGCGACCAATCATAAATTAAAGTGCGCCATTTTAATGCTAATGGGATGCAAAAATCTCCTATGTCTAACCACTCGTTCTGCATTTCTAAATTCATTGCATGGATCTTATATTTATCATTCTCGTCTTGCCGAATAAAAGACTTCAATATATCCGCATCTTGGACTTTCCTATTTGATCCTAACCCCGCTCTGTTACTTTGTGCTCCTATCATAAATTGCTTATGGAATTGAAGTCGTGACTCTAGCTCGGGGGCATCTTCATCTTTTGGGAGCGATGTCACTATGTCATCATGGGATTTCCCCAGGATATATCTCTTGGAAACTCTTAGGTGTTTATAGAGCTCCGATGGCCTTTTTAGACTCATCCCAAAACTATTGCTTCCCCTAAATAACGCCGATGAATCAGCCGTTAGAGCGAGCCCGAGCCACCACTTCAACATCTTTATGACGCCTGCATCTAACTTTGACAAAAGGGTTTTATTAAAATCATAGACGAGGAAAGGCCAATTCAAACGTGAAGTTAAGTAATTCTCGTAGATCCATGCTTTTTTGACGTTACTTATCAGTTGGCTATCTACCTTGTTAAGATCGTTCAAAAAGCTATCTACTATTCCTTCTAAAGATGGAGTACGGCCTATATTATCAATCTTACGACCGAGAAATTTAAATGGTGCATTTTCCGTAACCGTAGAAATGCATTGACCGCCTAACGATAGTCCTGGATCGTATGAGGTATATCTTGTATTCCGCCTACCAAGACACAGACAATGACATTTACTAGGTTTTGTCCTCAATCCATCCGTCCACTCACAGAATTTATCCACTTCATCCAATAGTACTTGACAGTGTTTGGGGTTACGTGTCAGTATTGCGAGATCGTCAGCGAAGGCTAAAATGGATTCCGTGTATTTATTATTAAACTTAAACCGATAACCCCATTTTTTCTCGTTACAGATTAATTTGTCTACTAGGATGTTAATAACGATATTAAACGTAATTGGAGATAGACAACAACCTTGAAACAGTCCTACATTATAACTCAAACTTTTTGAAGGGCCTTCTTTAGTTATTATAGAAAACCTTAATTTTGAGTAATACGACGCGATCATTTCTCTAACTAGGGGTGGAAAGTTGTACCATCTAAGCGCGAATAGCATCAATTCGTGTTGTATCGACCCGAACGCGTTCTCCAAGTCTATCCAACATACAGTGATTTGCCGCTCGCTTTTTCTAGCATCTTTCAAACTCTCCGACAGCAAGGTGTTGTGTTCTAGGCATCCAGAAATCCCGGGTAAAAACCCTTTCTGGTGATTTGGCCTAAAATAGTTGTTGCTGAGCATGAAACGCGTCATTCTCGTTTGTAGAACCGAGAAAAAGATTTTCGATATAGTATTTGTTAAAGCTATCGGTCTAGTATCTTTCGGATCGGTAACTATATCTTTTTTGGGAATGAGGACAAAAATTGCTTTCCCGAAGCACTCCGGGATTTGCTTCCCTGACCAGATTTTACCGTATATATTTAGGAGGTGTTTACGAACCGATGGACATTTTTTAAAGACTATATATGGGATACCATCGGGTCCCGGTGCAGATTTAGACGACTTCCTCTTGATCTGACTACTTAGTTCCTCTAGCGTTGGTGGAATGCCGTGGAATTCGATTCGAGGAAATTCAGGTTTTTGATCGTTTGGATCCCTATACCGTCTTAAACTTTTAGGCACTTCGTATGTGCTCTTGAAATGGTCGTAAATTTGATCGTTGGTCAAGAGAAGCTGTCCGCGTTCTTTCTTAAAAATGGTTTTCGAATACTCAAAGGGGTTTTTATCGAAATCTACTTCTTGTTTTGCCCGGTCAAAATTATCGCGATTTTCTGCAGTTTGCGCCGATATTCCTTGGATTAATTTAAGGATTGACCTTAACGCCCTAGCTAGTTGATGACTAAGGTGATTGTCGCCTAGAGCTTTTGCTATACGTAGATTTTTTATTAATTCCCGTTTTTTCTTCCGCATTTTTATTTTGAACGAATTGTCTTTATTTTTGCGAGCATAACGATTACGTGGTGGATATTGCTCGCTAAAGTAGTCGTAAACGGTATTTTGGAAAGTTTCTACCTGCGAGTTTAATTCCTGCTTCGAGCCCGGATGCTCTAACAGGACCGCTAAGTTGTCGTCATGAACTTTCCAAGTCGATTGTTTTACATTAGGAATGCTAAGACGTGTCCTGATGTTAATGGACTCCTGGTGGTTTCCAGTTAATGGTTCACCATGGGATACATGAGGGTCAACTCTATCCGAAGTGATAGTTGTAGATCTTACCGACGACTGTCGTGCTTCAACACCATTATGTGTTTTGAGATGTTTAATGTACCAGGCTCGTCTCTTGTAAATTTTCCCGCACGTAGAGCATTTCAAGTCCGTATTCGCGCCGTTTTCGCCGTTAAAATCGACCGGTGGACAGATCTTCCGCCCCCCCTCTCGGACTGTCCCAGGGGTATTTTTCTTATTCGGACTTTTAGCTTTAAATATACCGGGCTGGGCTTGCTAGGCCGTTACCCTCGGCTGTCTTTCCAGCAGTCATCCGTCTTTCCGGCAGTCATCCGTCTTTCCGGCAGTCAGCTGTCTTTCCAGCGTCAGCCCGTCTCTCCGGGCAGTCGTTTTAAATGAGACGAAACTACTAAGCATTCCATGGATTCACCGTGCGGGTGCCGGGTCCATCGCGTTGCAGGGAGAGGAGCTTCAACAGTGCCTGGGACTTGCGACCCAAGTGTAGGTTTAAGGGGCCCCTTAACTAACGCGCGTTATACGCTCACCTCCACTGTCCAAGCTCCTCTCTCTACCTAACCAAATTTGAAAAGAACCTACTAGGGCTGCCTTCGATATACGTTCCAAGAATGCATTAATGTGAGTTCTGGACAAGCCCAAGTCCTTTAGTAGGTTGTAGAGAGATTTCGCTGTTATACCTCTCGCTCCCACCTCTACCGCGTACAAATCTACTACGAACCTATTTCGAGTGAGTTCGTTTGTGAGCTCGTAATATTTGTTGACCTTGATGGTATGGTCTTTGGGGATGTTGGTTTCCCAAGGGACCGTAAGCTCTATCATCACTACGCGCTTTAAAATTCGCGAAAACAAAAATATATCCGGTCTGGAGGCCGACGCGCAAATATCCTCGGGGATTTTATATTGCTTTTCATACGTGTCCATCATTATAGTCCAATCCGACGCCGCTTTAAGGATGGAGTAAGGCTTGACGTTTGATTTTGTAGCCCTAGTGCCTTCTCTCACAAAACCTACTGATCGTTCGTTTGTGGTTATTTCCTTTTGCGCTCTGGCTACCGAAAGACTAACCGCTTCACGTATGATTTCTAAAACCCTATCGTGACGACGCGAGTATTGACCGCTGTCCAGGAGTACCTTACATCCCACCAGCAGATGCTTAGCAGTTCCAACTGCCTTTCCACAGATATAGCAAGTTTTTTCGGTACTTTTACCCCATCTTACTAAATTACTCTGATCTGGGAGAGTCATCTGGAACGCATTGAGATAGAATTTTAGCAATGCTGGCGACCAATCATAAATTAAAGTGCGCCATTTTAATGCTAATGGGATGCAAAAATCTCCTATGTCTAACCACTCGTTCTGCATTTCTAAATTCATTGCATGGATCTTATATTTATCATTCTCGTCTTGCCGAATAAAAGATTCAATATATCCGCATCTTGGACTTTCCTATTTGATCCTAACCCCGCTCTGTTACTTTGTGCTCCTATCATAAATTGCTTATGGAATTGAAGTCGTGACTCTAGCTCGGGGGCATCTTCATCTTTTGGGAGCGATGTCACTATGTCATCATGGGATTTCCCCAGGATATATCTCTTGGAAACTCTTAGGTGTTTATAGAGCTCCGATGGCCTTTTTAGACTCATCCCAAAACTATTGCTTCCCCTAAATAACGCCGATGAATCAGCCGTTAGAGCGAGCCCGAGCCACCACTTCAACATCTTTATGACGCCTGCATCTAACTTTGACAAAAGGGTTTTATTAAAATCATAGACGAGGAAAGGCCAATTCAAACGTGAAGTTAAGTAATTCTCGTAGATCCATGCTTTTTTGACGTTACTTATCAGTTGGCTATCTACCTTGTTAAGATCGTTCAAAAAGCTATCTACTATTCCTTCTAAAGATGGAGTACGGCCTATATTATCAATCTTACGACCGAGAAATTTAAATGGTGCATTTTCCGTAACCGTAGAAATGCATTGACCGCCTAACGATAGTCCTGGATCGTATGAGGTATATCTTGTATTCCGCCTACCAAGACACAGACAATGACATTTACTAGGTTTTGTCCTCAATCCATCCGTCCACTCACAGAATTTATCCACTTCATCCAATAGTACTTGACAGTGTTTGGGGTTACGTGTCAGTATTGCGAGATCGTCAGCGAAGGCTAAAATGGATTCCGTGTATTTATTATTAAACTTAAACCGATAACCCCATTTTTTCTCGTTACAGATTAATTTGTCTACTAGGATGTTAATAACGATATTAAACGTAATTGGAGATAGACAACAACCTTGAAACAGTCCTACATTATAACTCAAACTTTTTGAAGGGCCTTCTTTAGTTATTATAGAAAACCTTAATTTTGAGTAATACGACGCGATCATTTCTCTAACTAGGGGTGGAAAGTTGTACCATCTAAGCGCGAATAGCATCAATTCGTGTTGTATCGACCCGAACGCGTTCTCCAAGTCTATCCAACATACAGTGATTTGCCGCTCGCTTTTTCTAGCATCTTTCAAACTCTCCGACAGCAAGGTGTTGTGTTCTAGGCATCCAGAAATCCCGGGTAAAAACCCTTTCTGGTGATTTGGCCTAAAATAGTTGTTGCTGAGCATGAAACGCGTCATTCTCGTTATATTAACTTTAAATTATTGTATTTTAATATTAACATAATATTCACCTCGTAATATTGATAGTTTGATCTCATCCTGGCATAGAGTTATGACTCTCTCAATCTTCTGTGGTGCTGTCGGTGGATTCCGACATCTGGACTCCTGGAAGAATAAAACATAATAGCACAATTATCTATATGTATGAAAGAATATTTTCACTATTTATAACTCCAGAACGGCTGTATGGTTTTGCCTGAAAATGAGTAGGGATCTAGCTTAGAACCAAGAGCCGCGCATTAGATACTTTTCAACCTGTTAGACAAAAAAAAATTTGTTAAAAACTGCCTATAAAGTAAAACAGATCTCCTGGCTAGATATACATTTCTAATTCTGAAACTAACACAGCCAAATAATTATATTAATCTTATACATTTCATGTAAGGTTTTTGTGACACACACATATGACGATGTATCTGTAATCTATATCTGTAAAATAGCTAGTCTATAATTTTATCGGAGAAAGTCGATCGCAGTTATTAAAGTAACGTGCGGTTCATGGAAAAAAATTTTGATATATTTTTTCATGTTTTTTTAGACAAATACTACACAATTATTACTACTTCTAAACAATTTTTTCATGTTTTTTATTCTACACTTGCTTACAAAAATTACACATTTTTAAGTAGGTATCTTAATAATAAAACCCAGTTGGATTATCTATGTCTTCTAATGTTAAAATATAAAATATTTATGTTCTCTTTCTATTAAAACACTTTTCCTTTTTGAGCTCCTTGCTTATTAAACAATATATATAATAATTAATACCAAAAACGATCACCTTTCCTAATATATACATACCTATGATTAAAACGTAATAATATTAATGTATTGGTAAATATCCTGTTACGATAATATCCGTGTTGAAATAAAAATAATTAACCAATTAATATTATCCTCTTGTAGTTTATAAATGTTGTAATATATCAGTTATTATGCAATTAACGATTTAAATGATTATTATTGATTGGCGCAACAGAATCAAATTAATATAGGGCCCTCAACACATCTTGTATAGTATGTGTCTATAGATAGGGATATATTTTTTTACTAATCTTTAAATAGTTATTAAGATAATGACGTGGTTAACCGTGACCGTTAAAAATAAAAATATCTAAAGTTCAAAACGCCTCTTCAGACGAAGTCACGCTTTTTTGGAGGTCAGGAATAATCCGTACAGACAAAAAAATATTATGAAAACATAAAATTTAGGCCAATAACAATATTTTTTTAATAAATTTTAAGTATTTATATCAATATTATAAAATAATATAAGTGTTCTCGACTTATAAATGATATTCATATATATTTTAGCAACGGTATATGTATAAATAAAAAAAATCTATTTTATAATATTCACTTATGTCAAGATTTAATGTCATTAAAAATATATCGGCCATTTTTTTGCTGATATACCATAAATTAATGTAGGATATCACTTGAATAAATTTTTATAAATAAGTAAAAAACTTTAATTGTTTTTGTATGAAACAGTAATAAAAATTGTATTTGTACATTTTACGAAACATTTTGAAGTTACGTACATTTTCGCTAGATTCTCAAACGACGTAAAGTTTCTTAAGAGGAGTATCGGCTACAGTAATAATATAGATTTATTTTAATGAGTACATTAACATGTAATTAATATTCATAGAAAGTAACAGTTTGTATTCAACTTGTGAGTATTGTGTTGTGTTGGACAATTCAGACTCTGTTAAACAACTAGTTTACAGTTGAGACGACTTCTACAGAATAGCGTATTAGATAATTCATACTACATCTTTATTCTTCCTGGCAATTTCCCAGCTTTAGCCTGGGCCTGCCTTACACGTTGGCTAAATGTTTTTTATGACCGGCCGTCTGCCTAACATTAACCCTCTTTAGGAATGCGTTAATGAGTGGTATCTAAATGCTCTTAAAAAGTACATATGACTTGGAAAAATCACATCGGTACTTGCCAGGATCGAACCCGCGACCTCATGCATGAGAGGCGGGTCTTTTAACCACTAGGCCACCACTGAATACTACATCTTTATATATTTGTAAAACTACATATACTAAATACTAGATATTACTTAGAATCATGTTCTAAAGAGGGCATTATGAAAATTTTAATAAGATTCATCATCGCTTCTTTCACAATTTTTTTTATTATATAAAATATAAACAATAAATATACTTCTTAATATATCCTCTTATCAGCATATAATCAATTATATTGTTAAAAATCTATAAAAAAATGTTTCTTTTTTATATTCTGCATCTCTACTTCCTTTTTTCTATTCACTATGGTTATTTTTTCTTTTTAACGTTTATATAAGTATAATTCTACTAGTACTTAATATTTATCATATAATAAAGCTTTTAAACTACTAAGAACTTAATTATGACTTCGTTTTATTTATAATTAAGTCGTTTAAAAACTCATTCAGACTCCGATTGTATTCTCATAGATGTGTGTCATTATATTATGTTTTAATGTTTGTTTTACAATATTCACTTATTTTTCATGAATATTGGAGGTTAATATAGTTATAAATAGTTTATATTTCTTTAGTACTCTGATACATTAGAAAGAAGTAGAAGAAATTATTTTTTTTATATTTTATCCTACTTACTAAACGCTTAAAAAGAAATGTTAAATAAAATACAGTCAAAATTGATTTGTTTATTTAAGAAATGTTCTGATAAATTTGGTTCAGTTACTTTTAAGCCATTATTTATAAAAAATAACATGTTTTTTATATTTTATGAATGAGAGAATTTCATACAAAATATACCCAAGAATGATTTGAATATATGTATTTGATCAATAAAAACTCTTAACAACCCATTGTATGCTATACACGTATCAAACTAAAAGAAAGTAAACTTATCTAATACTTAATAGAAAGTTTTGTTAGCTGTAATAAAAATTAATTGATTTGTAAAACAACAAAAAAAATACATGTGATATGAAAATAATATGTCAAATTTAATATGTATAAGAAAGTCGTATTTATTATGAAACCCATTTATTAATAGTACACAAGCCAGAATTATTACATTGTTCAGTTCTTAACTAATGTGACTTAATAAAAAGCTATACCAACTTCATCTTAAAGCATAACTATTTGCAATTGCATCTGTTATATAACCACTGACCTATTAAATTGCATCTTGAGTAATACTCCGATATCAACTCGAAATGTCTTACACTTGCTAAATATTTTGGGCAATAATAATCCATATAAATATTATTTATATTATAAACCTTACGTACTCTAATTACTTTAATATGAATTTTTCGTTTAATCTACTAGTTTTTGCCCGTGGCTTCGTCTGTTTCATTAGAAGAAATGTATAGCTGACCTCCTCCTTAAGAACAGTAGGTAAGAAGATTTTAGATTTGATTAACTTTTTTGTCTTTTTCAATCTAATGAAAAGTATCCTATGTCCTTTCACTTGGTCTAAGCTGTCTCTCCACCAATTTTTAGCCATACCCGTACAGCCGTTCTTGAGTTATAAATAGTGTAACTAACACGAGTTTCTTTTATAGATGAAGATTAAACACATATGTATTTATTTAACAACATACACTCGTATATTTATTAAACTATATGATATAAGAGTTTCCAAAATCTGCTAATTATAGATTGCAATAGTTTTTATTCAAGATGAAGTTAATTATTTAACTAAAATGTTTAAAATCTACAGTGTTTCAATTGAGTCACACATTGTGGGCGATGCTTGTTCTGTCGTATATAGACAAGTCTAAATAAGGCTGCTAGTGGGACGATAGCCTTCAAAAAATCCGTTATCGTTTACAAAAATACAAAGCGATTTTTTGACAAAAAGAAACAATTCTATAACTTCGCATTTCTTGGCTTTAAAAACGCTTATTCTTGTACGAAGTTGTTCTAAATATGTCATTTTCTTTAAATGGAATCATTACGATCATAATATTTTTTGTATTTATAAAAATATCGTAATACTTATTTTAAATAGGTTCGTATTTCAAAACATGTAGTGTTTGAGTAAAAAAGAATGGTTTTTTTATGTTGAACAGGAAATTTCAATCGAACAATTCACCAGATGGCAAATAGGAGATGTGGTACAATGACGATGTAAACAAGTAGATATATATAATATACATATGGGTATATAAACAACTAAATGAAAGTTGCAATATACATTTGTAACTCATGGCGATGAGAATTAACGTTAAAATACTTTATTACTTAAAAATGTTTATAGTCTGAATATTTTTTTCATACGAATTTTTTTAAAGAGTCAAATAATATGTATATATTAATAAACTATAACAGTCATATCCGAGGTTCTCAACTAGTGTTTTCAAAAGTATTGTTCTATTTCTCTTCCATCTTTAATTGTTTTAGTTATGACCTCATATAAATACGATATTTATTAAATATAAATCCTATATTTATTTCTATATAATATAAAACTATAAGTTTATGTAATACTTTCATAATATTCACATATTAAAACTATATATCGTTTAGAACAACTATGAATCGTTAGGACCATAAAAGCACATTGGATTGCATTTCCTCCACTTGCTTTATGTAACTTGTTGCGTATTTTAAACGTACAAATCTTCTCGGTTGCTTGATTGATTAGCGAGGCTAACCACTAGTACATTACTACATAGTACATTCAGTACAGCGCTAGTATTAGAAAGATAAAAGCTTCAATGTGTGTTGTTTGTCACTTAAAAATAACTAAACCCTTAATATTTTTACTTAAATAGATTTGTGCTAGAAACAATAACAACAATTTTTTTCTGATTAAATGAATTATATATAATTAATTTCAAATTGATATATTCAAATATTCCAAGTGTATATATATTATCTTATATAAATAATAAATCATTACAATAACAAACCCTACTACCGTGACGTCTACTTTCTCTCTTGTGAGACTTCTTTAGGAAAATCGCTTTCCATTGAGAGATATTGGAGCATACTTAATGTATACCTTTGAAGTAGAACTTAGAATTTTTTTTAATGTTCAACTTAAGAAGACAAAATTCTTCACATTAATCTTATACGCATCTTAATCATTATTATTGGATAATGTTTTTGCTTACTAATTATATGTTCGTGAAATTGCATTTGTCGTGTTGACACAAGTGCAAGCTATACACGAATATGGATACGCCAAGGATTTTGTGATATCATTAACCGAACCTTGGTGACTTATTCTACATCTAAGATTATTTTCTTACATTCCGATAAGTCTAAAAAATTACTGATATCAAACAACATTTTGGGCAAATTATGTTTCAAACAATATTGACCTATAAAATAGGTATTAATACAAAGAATCAAAGATTGATATTTGTATGAGGTAATATACGTTTTACTTATAATAGTATGACAACAATTCTGTAAGATTATATCACATTCTTTTCAATATGACCACAGGTCACACGATCTCAAGGTTGGCTTGTAAGTTGGTAACTGGAGCAAACATTATGAGAATGCTTAGAATATATATCAAAATTTATTCAATGTTAGTATGATTCATGTATGACGCCTTATAATCTTGGCCTTACAAGTTGAATTTAAATACATACGTCGTGCCATTAATAAATGTCCTTTTAGATCGTATGTTACTCAATAGGTCTATATTAAGTTTTATTTTATTTATTAACCTGTATATAATTTAAATTTAAATTAATAATTTCAATTTCTATATTACTACATTAAAATATTTATGAGAAACTATACAGATAAATATAGAAATGTTAAATTAAAATTTTAAATAAATTTACTTACATTCTCAGCGGATATAGCACTATCGCTTAAAGAAATGCCAAAGATATATATAAAACACAGCAGTACACTTATTTTGTTAACCATTTTAATCACTTTATATTTAAAAATATATTTTTTACACTCGTTTGTGAACACAAGCGCAGTAAAAGGCGTCTGTACAGTTTATGGTGCTGTGAATCAAGTGCGGTGATTTTTGAAAGGCCCGCGTAGGAGTTCGCGCCTTGGTTATCTGTGCCCGATGTTTTGTTTTTGCAACACCTACTGTCACTTTGACATTTTTTCATCCTTTTTTAATATTTTAATATAAATTTATCGTGCTTGATTAATCTTCTTGAAATTTGGAAACGGTTGCTGTTAAGAAGAAATATTTTTAAGAAGTCAATAACGGTAATAAATAATTCTAAAATTGCTAAAAATAAGTACTTCCTTTAATTTTGTATTAGAAAGAATTTTATCTGAATAGGTCCAGAATTACTCAGATATACAAACAGAAATTGCAGCATTTAATTATTCTTAAACATTAATATGTACATTTGGTTAAATCAAAAAAAGATAATCGTATATCCAATTAGTAAAAATAAGGTTAATTAAGAAATACATTTATAAAATAATAAAAAAAATCACATATGTAAAAATTATTGTAAAATAAATTTTATAATAACATCATTATCTGATTGATATGTATAACCATATTTATTTAATTTTATTTGTATCTAATATATGAATATTGTGAGTTATAAGAGAAAATATTCTCATTGAGATTTCATAACTTTTTATGTGTCACACAATAGATTTAACAAAAAACGAAACTGAATTTAAAACGATGTATTGTTTCTTTATATTAAGTGCCATTTAATGACATGAATAAGTTACATACTAAAAGTTACTTTTCTATTATTTACTAGAAGACCTGGCGATCTTCGTATCGCCCTATAATCAAGAAATAACTATTACGTTTTTTTATTTTTATTTTTGGAGTTTACCTGTAAGCCATAAATCTCCGAGTTTTGAAGTGCGACAGAATGATTGACATATTAGTTAGTTGTCAAATCTAATGTCAAAAAAAACGTTTGTATGGGAAATAGAAAAGGGCTGTTTTTATGGTTTTCCCAGTAATGAATCAATTTTTTTCAGCTTTTATACCTTCCCTGAACCTCCGCGAACATTTCAAGACTAAGATAAGATAAATCCGTTCAGCCGTTCTTGAGTTTTAGCGAGACTAAGGAACAGCAATCCATTTTTATATATATAGAAGATTATTGTGAAACGAAAAATCAAACGCCTGTAGGTAATTAATGATGGTTACGACTTTTGTAGTTTTTTAAAACTTTAACCCATAATTTTATCATTATATTGAAAGAGAAATTATCATAATATTATCTTTTTAACTTGAATGCTATGAAAACAAAATATTTCAATTTCAATATACGTCGTCGCATTTAAAAGTTTTCTCAAATTTGAAAACGAGTAAACAGATTTATTTTATGTTACCATTGGTCTTGATTTCTTGAATTTAACATGACACATTAAAAAGTTCAAAATTACGATAACATGATTTTTATACCTTAGACTTATCACCTAACTGCAAAAAAAGTCCTCGATGACATATATGGACTTCACTTTTGTCAGTGATTATGTTTTTCAAACGGTTTAAAACAAATATTATGTACCAACCAGATTTTCAGAAAAAAAAACAAGATATTTTTTTAAAGTTCATTTATTGAGCAGTATTGTTTTTGATTTTCACGTCAATATTTTTGTGCATAAAAAATTAAAAAGATAGTCTAAAACACGTATCAACTTATGACACATAATGTTTGACGAATCAATTAACATTAAAAATATAGCCAACGTCAATAAATATAATTAAAAAACCATAACCAGTTTATGAAATACGTTTTATTTCGATAAAATCTCTATATGGCAATAAGCGAGCCAAAAGTGGAGCACATTATGTGAAAATTGTTTTTCCTCTTGGGAAACCACTTAGATTGTGTTAATCTCACGCTACACCGTGGAGATCTTTTCGTAATACAATTAACACAATACAGATAGCTATTTCAAAGAGAATTTTCTTTTGAACTGTAAAGAAAATAATAGGATTTTCGTCATACTTATTCAAAATAGTTCGAGGAATTATTCCCAAATAAATAATCATACAAATACTTTGTCTATGACGCTGGTTTGCCGATATTACTGGTTTTCTTCATAAGTGTCTTGTTGGCATTAGTGTTTTCCATGCTCTGTATTCGTTGCATTGAAAGTATTCTCCGCTGTGACGTCAGAGTTGGCCGTATGTCATTATAGTATTCCTCTATTTCTTGCAAAGTCAAATCTTTCGTTTCTGGCAGGAAGAAGTACAGGAAGATTGACCCTAGTGGGATCCAATTTTATGTTAAATGTATCTAAAGACATATTTGAGTTATTAAAAACTAAACTCACCAAGAAAAGAACATATACCAAACGCCAAAATAGTGTTCGCAAACCCAAGAGACTCTCTAACGAATGGAAAACATTTGTTTGCTATGAATATACATATACTTATGTTTGACAATGATAATCCACCCAGTATTCCTCTTACCTGGAAAGTTGATTGATTTTATTAGCAAGTAATAAAAAGTAAATGTGAGAAAAATATAAGAAATGAATAATAGAGTATTCTAAGGAAAAACTGCTGTTTTTGCACCTGGAGTGGGTACAATTCGAACATTATAAGAGGAGGTAGTGTGTAGTAACCAAGTGTAGCGAAGAATATGTAAGCCACGTATCCTAGTTGGGGGAATACTGTGGGTGTGTCTAAATAATGCATGATAGCACCAAGAAAAAAGCAAGTCACACCGACACCTATAGCTGAAATAATATGTAAAAGTTATTGCATTGTAATTAATATTCAGTGATATGTTGATATTTCGCATACCTGAAGTAAGTGCTAACGGCCTCCTACCTATATAGAATACAAAAACTGCTGTTATTACACCGCTAATAATTCTCATCAGTCCCAAGATAAAGTTACCTACTTCAGCATTTATGGAAGACTTTGACCTCTAAAGCCACAAAAAGTCCGTTAATATTATTGCAATTTTAGAGCAAATTTTTGAAATATACAGGGTGACTGGTGAATTACTATCGATACTTGAGGACTTGATATTTGACAATCATATATGACAAAATAAAAATTAATATAACATAAATATTAATAAACTTCTAAGTAAAGTTAACCAAAAGTTATGTAATTAATTACGCATCGTGTGAACACCCTACAGATTAGGTATACACACACACACACACACTCGTGCGGCGGCGTGGTGTTCTATCAGCACGCCGCCGCACGCGTCCACACTTTGGACACTTGGAACGTGTCCACACTTTATTTATTTATACGGAAATTTGGTAAAAAATTAAGTACCTATTTTTTACATAATTCGAATGAGAATCATGTACCGAGTATTCTCCTTAAATATTGATAGTAATTCACCAGTCACCCTGTATATTACATATACACAGAAAAAATATAAAAGTACCTGTAGTATCTGAACGCCCCACATAAAGACGATAGAAGCACCAGACAATTCCATAATAACAACGTATACCATCATTATCCAGAATGGCTTACAAGCCGATCGCTTAAATAGAGCCTGCATTCTTTCTTTAGCATTCAACCTGACAAGTTTAAAATTAAATAGTTTAATGCGAAATTATGAGTCTACCATACTTATAAATTCTATAACAAGTACATAATTAATCGCACTTACTTATGAATGTCGTTGTCTCTCTTAAAATCGATGAGGTCGCTAATTTCGTTTTCAATATTATATTGTTTACCTCTGAAATGTTTGAGCGAATTCCTCGCATCATCTATCGATGCTCTTTGTAGCAAGTAATATGGTGATTCAGGAAGTTTGAAGTTTATAAAGAATAAGCTTAAAGCACAGCTAAAACTAATAAAACATAAAATATCCCATTTCAAAATTGATCCCAAACCAGCCTGAAAAATCAATCAATTCAGTATTAGTAAAGATTTAAGATGAACTTTCAGCCTATTATTATAAAATGATTCTTCACTCACCTGGGAAGCAATACCAATAGACATAGCAATGTTTGGAAAAGATCCAAGAATACCTCTCATATTTGGTAAGGTCATTTCAGTCATATACACACGAGGGACACTCATCGCCATTCCTGCGCCGAAACCCGTCAACATCCTGCCTAAAATTATTACATATTTTAGAAAATAAGGTAATATGGACGTAGTAGTATAACGCCTTGTGAACAAGAAATTACATTGACGAAAAAAAGTTAAAAATGTTTCACCTATAATAAGATTCACAGCGGATTGGGCAACACCAGTGTAAAACCAGCCAAGCATAACTGGCAACTGACTACAAATAAGCATAGTACGACGACCGAATTTATCCAGCAAATATCCACCCAAAATACATCCAGGAGGGCAAAATAGAGGTAACACACTAGCTGGAATAAGCTCAATGAATATAGTTAATACGTACGTATCAAGAAATAGAAATGTATACAACAAACCTATCCAAGATTGATCGGCTACTGTAACTTTTATTGGTGATGAAGCCGATGCTATTTGAGGAAGTGCTACTGATGACCAACCAAAAGCCAAGCCTACAATGACCTGAGAGAGATTCACCCAAACACCATAACCTAGCTGGATTAGTGAGGTTTCCGTCCAAAAACCTGGGTCAGGATAATTTACATTTATCTCCTTAGAGGACATAGTTAATTGAGCTAATAAACCAACACTGGACTATTTATTCCTTTAGATTTATTTCAACAAAAATTCAAAGAATGATTTGTTTAAAAATATAAGATATTTAGTAAAACGTGTTAGTGTAATATTGTCAACATACTTATTTCAATCCGTCAATGTCGAGCTATACATAGAGTAAAATAGAAAGATAAGAAGAATTTCCTTCTTTCACAGAAAATCAACGATTATTTCATTTTACTTTCTTGCAATGGCTTAGTGCTCACAGTTTTTACAAAATATTAGGTTTTATTACTACTCCTATATATACTTATCTTTTCTTTGCATAATTATATGCACATTAATATAATGCAAGTGTTTTAAAACTAAGTTGAAAATAACTACAACTCTTAAATAGCTAAAATATTTGCATGAAGAGTATCTACTATGTAGAACACGCTTTATTGTAAATACGTGTTTGTGATAGAATTAGATCAATAATAATGACATTCAAATAACTCTTTAAAAGATAAATATTTATAATAATAAATGAACCACGAAAATATCCGTAAAATAAATAGTTTTCTTAGGCTCGTGAGTACTTAAAATATTTAATTGAGTCCAATAAACGCTAATTCTTAACCGGGAAACTTGTGTACGTGATGTAGATATCAACATAAGAACATTAAATGATCGACTGTAAACTTGAAGAACTTCATGCCATATTTTTAGGTGGTAGAGACTAGCTGTGGTCAGTTACTATAGCTCGAACGTGGGCTGGCTCGACCAGGGAAGTACCACCCTCTCACAGAAGATCGGCGTGAAGTAGTCTTTACTTTCCTTCCATTTCCTTATTCCCACCCCTCCCTATCCCTAAAAAAACAATGTTGGCAACGCATCCGCAACAAACATGTTGTGTATGCCCATGAGCGGCGGTACTACCTTACATTAAGTAGGCCGTCTGCTCGTTTGCCACCTTTCACATAAAAAAATTGCATTTACAGTAATTTTTTGGCCATATTTCAATTAATATTTTTATGTATCTGAGAAAGTTTGATTAATTTACTTGATAAAATAGCCACAGTTGTATGGGGTTGAATACAGTATCTATATGCAGAATAAAATATGTCAGTCGATGCATTGACAATCATCCAACAATAAGTTAAAAAATAATCTGTTGGATAGTATTTTCTATATATTTTCAGTGCCTATATGTAATTTGGCTAGAAGGTATACGTCTCTATCGGGATAAAGATTCGATCATACTCAGTTTTATTTCGGCTTATCATTCTATATAAGTCAAGAACTACGATCTGGGTAAATGTACTATATAATTTTTGATAAGGGTAAAAATAATAAGAAAACCGTTACATTCAAAAATTGTTTTTATATTACATATGTGGGTCTGAAAACATGATGAATATATTGTAGTTCATCCTTTATTTCTATAATAGGACTCTGTTTGTTCAAGTGTCAGTCCTTTAGTTTCTGGTACGAAGAAGTAAATAAAAATGCAACCTAAATATGTAATTTATTTAATTTATTAAAATATTACCAATAACTTTTGTATTCATTTATATACTCACCAATTAAAGAAGATAAACCAAAAGCGAGTATTGTGTTAGCAAAGCCGATATCATCTCTTAAGTATGGATACGATTTGATTGCGAAAAAGATGAAAATGTTTAAACAACATAGAGATATTCCTCCCATCAGTCCTCTAACCTTAATGATAAGGAAGTTAACATTATTAAACTTAATACACAAAAAACAGGATAAAACTGATGTCAAAACAAATAGTAAAAAATATCCATAGGTTTTTGACCTAAATAAAGTTATTAATTGCCTATTAATTCTTCATAGAGTTACGTCAAATTATATTATAAAAATAATTACCTATAATAGCATAATTTTATTTTTTTAATAATTCATAATAACTCTTAAGTAATATTTAGACTTACTTGCAAAGGATATAATTCATACATAATTAAAATCGGTAAATTATAATGTCCAAGAGTCGCAAACAAAATGTAAGCGACATAACACAATAATGGAAATGGTGTCGGCGCCTTTAAATTATTTATTAGCAAAGTCACAGTTAAACACATTACACCGACTCCTCCACCTTAAAAATAAGCACTAAAATATAAATTTGATATAACATATTAAATGCTTAATATATAAGAAGATAGAAATTACTATACTATTGAATTAACTGGCATTTTTAATGAACAAGGACTTTATTTGTCTTAATAGTTTTATTGTAAAATAAATGATTGATACGATCACATACGAAACGCCTTTCTTGTCAACAACACACTTCGAATTCACGTTATGTCAGTATGCAGTTTTGTGTGTGGTAGAATTTAATTATTTTCAATGGACTATAGAACTTATCTGACCTAATATGTATTGTGTTATGGGCCTAAAGATTTGGAAGACAATGTCTATCTTAAGATTCCTATTGTTATTTTTCTTTCCTCCTTAAATCCTTATATTTTCTAAGACACAATATTCTAAAGGATAGCTAAATTGACTGGAGCTTCTAATCATCAAGTACACTACTACCTGCCTGTTAGTTTATTTATAAGATAAGAATCTGGTAAAACAAGATTACCCGATACTAAAGCCATTGGTCGTCTTCTAATTCTAAATATAAGAACTGCTGTAACAATTCCTCCTATTAATCTAGTAATTCCAAGTATCACGTTACCAGAATTAGCATCGATGGACGAATTTGATTTCTAAAATTAATGAAACATTGATTAAAAGAGAAACATATCTCTATATATATGTATATAGCAGTTACCTGTATTATATCAACAGTCCACATAGCTATTATCGTGACTCCCGAACATTGCGTGATAGCTAAATAAATCAAGATCATCCAAAACGACTTGCAGGTCGATTTCATAAAAACTACCAGCATTTGCTCTTTGAAAGACAATCTGTAATATTATATAAATATATATCTTGTGTATTAACAACGTACACCATAAAAAAAAACATTTAAATATTTCATCAAATACCTGTGAAGATCATTCTGTCTCTTATATTCTATAAGATAAACCATTTCTTTCTCAATGTCATGACTTTTCGATCTAAATTTCTTAAGCGAATCTTTCGCATCATCAGTACACTCTCTTTGCAATAAAAAATAAGGAGTTTCAGGAAGACCAAAGTTGAAGAAAAACAAAAATAACGCGTACGCACTACTGATGAAACACAATGTGGTCCAATTATATCTGGCTCCCAAACCTGCCTGTAACGTTAGAAATTAGACGGATTTATAATAAGTAATAGTAGTAAGCCCAACAGATTTTCAATTATTATCGTTGTGTAATAAATCAATACTAATATATTTTCTTTACTTGTTCTAAAATAAACATAGAAACTTTTGAAGCATTTAGTCTACAGCTACACAATTTGTTCTTATTACTAAAGTATCTGAAACTGGCTGTATTACTGTTAATTTGTTAGAATTAACATATTATATACCTAAAAATACTAAAACCTGTACAGTTATTCCAATAGAAATCGCAATATTCGGAATCGTTGCGACCACACCTCGCATATTTGGCAGAGATATTTCTGTCATAAAAACCCTAGGAGCACTGGTTACCATACCGATTCCAAATCCAGTTATTATTCTGCCTATATTAATAAAGAATCCACAATAAAATTCATTTAATATATACTTCATTAATATTGGAATATTACCAATAATGATATCTCTCGCTGAACCCGAATATCCAGTGTATAACCAACCAAGACAAACGGGTAGTTGACTGAAAGACAGCATTATCCGACGACCTAACTTATCCATTAAATAGCCGGAAAAAACACAGCCAATAGGAGATACCAATGTTAATACGCTGGCTATAAATGAAAGTAACATTCAAATATATTTTAAAGATATTAGTATTAAGAAGATACTGAAATTTGACCAATAGAATTGTGTTATTACAAACATAGCATTAAAAATTAACCAATAGTGATGTGATAGCTCTAACCTATCCAAGACGCATCAGCTACTGATACTTTTATACGTGATTCTGGAAGAAGTAATTGAGGCACAGCGACAGCAGAAAATCCAAAAGCCAGTCCGATTGCTATAAACGACAGATTCACCCATACACCATAACCTAATTGTATCAATGATGTCTTTGTCCAAAATCCAGGGTAATTTATTACAATATTTTCATTTTGAGACATCTCTTAAGTGTTTATTTAGACAAACAATGATACATATTTTCCAAATTTTGTACAACACTGAACTTCTTTTGACATTCTATTGATATTTTATAATGTCAGTATCTTTAACCTTTTAATTTTTAGTGTAGTGTCTTGATTACTGTGAATTGAACACTTTCGAATCTCTTTATTTACTTGCACATTAAAACTAAGACTTATTTATTATATAAAAAATGTATTCTTAATTATTTATTTAATGTTAAAACCGAACACGAATTGTTTAATAATTAATCCTTTTTTTAGCTCTTCTCTGGTTTTTCTTGTTTGGATATATGAATGGTTTTGTGTATTTGTTGTTGGCGAATTCAGCGGTGAAGACTGGTACTTTTTTATTTATTGAAGTCATCTTAATATTATTTTCGAAGGCTTTTAATATCTGAAGTAAAGCACTGCGTGATATTGATGAGAACTGGATTCCGTCGCTGTATTGTATAACTGAAACAATACGAGTATATCAAATGAACCACTCCGTTTTAATCACTTGTGAAAAAAACACAATACCTTCACAGATGAAGAAATTATATCCAAAATGTTATAATGTATACAGTTTATTATTTTTTTATGAAATAATACTACCTAATAATGTTCTCAAAACTGACAGTTGTTCATATATTTATACTCACAAACAGTTAATACAGGGAATTAGAATTTAGTTAAAAAAGTCCTTTGTCCATTAATCCCACTTTATTACCTTTTCTTTTGTTTCCGCGGAACGCGTTAATGAGATGAATTGAAACAATAAGGAAGTGTAGCAAAACAATGTACCGCATGTTTAGTTGATTAGAACGTCTATAGCTCACTACTCAACGAGTGTTTTGTCATTCGTTTTCATTTTATTAGAACCTTTTGTTCGATACGTATTGGCAAAGATCATTTTAATGCTTATCTTGAATACAATAGGAACTCTTTTTGGATGTAGATAATTATGGTAAGCTTAAAATATGTATTTATAAGTAATTTAATGTGATTTTAAAGTAACGTCTTTGTGTCTCACACAAAATTACAGAAAAAGTATAAACGAAATCAATTGTAAATGATAAAAGTGTAACAATGGCAGTCTTAATAGGCAAATTCTTCGAGTCAAACTTGCGGTTAGAGAAATGACACGCAGTGAAAAGGTGGGTTACTGGAATCCTACTAAACAAATAATAATGAAATTATTAGACATAATTGTAACATATTTTTTTAATATATCCTTTACATTTCGAAACACGCATTATGTATACTGGTACGCTTATCACAAGTGGCACTCTCACACTACATTTGGAGAGTTAATATTTTTTGTGCATAAATCGCACATTATAGTATTAAAGTAGGTAATTTAAGGTTAAACGAGAAGCACTTCGTATGTATTGTGATGATCCAAAGTTATAGTAAGCATAGAGGACAAAAAATATTATTAGTCTGAAGACGTATAGTAGAATGACAATGAGGTTTTTAGTAATCTGACAATGAACTTACGCCCAATTCAGTATACCGTTTACTGAGATAAAAAAAAGCGAACAATTGACAAATATCCCTTTCTCTATTATAAAATTGGCAAAATTTTTGCAAATTTATGACATCATTTATCCAATGCTAAGTAAATAACTACCTGGTGCTATAACCATCATGAGGACAAAAATAATATTGTAGAAGATTAAGAAGAGTCTTAAAAATAAAAGTATCTAATTCACAACATAATAATTCATGACATTCTGAAAAGAACAAGTATGTTCTACTGTTATTTTCATCAGTTTTCTATTGAAAAGCGCCTAGGCATCATTATCGTCTTTATAAGGTTTTCAAGAAAATGATTCGTAAAAATTTTGTAGCAATCATTACAAAATTTAAACATGTTAACGCTATTAGGACCAATAGTATTTCATGAAATATATATTTAGAATGAACCTTTTACCATCACGTAACTTGAAAGATCTGTTAGAAAACTGCAGAATGTGGAATTGGTGACTTTACTTAGAACCGTTTTGGTCTGCACTGTTTTGATTAAAAAAATCTCTTAGCTCTTCGTTTTTAAGAAATTAAAATTCATCCTAAGCCACCAGTTTCAATTAACCATTTAACAAAGTTGCCAGTTAATGTATATTTTTATAGGTGTAATAGCAGCACAGCTTTTGTTTAGTTGACTAAATAAGTCCAGTTAACGAGCCAGCCCATTAGCTTTGGATGGTATAAAAGATTTATGTAAATTCTTTCAATAGAAAAACAAATATTGTAATAGAGTTAAAGAAATGATGATTTACGAAATCGAATAATTGCAATGCTTATATTTATATATAAGGTACCATCATAAGGGAGAGTAATAAAGCCACACTGCTAGAACAAAATGTTTTAGAAAACGTGTCTAATATATGTGATCCTGCATAAATAATGATAATTATCAATAAAACTTTATTAAATTTATAAGTAATCTTTTAACAAGTTAAAGTTATTTTAACATACTCGTAGAGTGACGACGGTAAAAATTGTCAAATAATAAGTAAGTTTGAAAATATTTTCAATTCATAGATGTTCAGAAGCATATGGAGTTTACGGAGTAATTTGAGAAAAATAAACCTTATGTCTTTACAAAACATACATTTACACATAAATACATATATAATAATCTTATAGAGGCTTTCAGAAACAAATCCATCTTAAATATACTTAGCCTGGTTTATCGTTTCACATTTTTAAATACTAAATTAAGTCAGTGGTCAGTGGTGGCCTAGTGATTAAACGGCCCGCCATCATGCATGAGGGTGCGGGTTCGATCCTGGCAAGTACCAATGTGATTTTTTCGAGTTATGTGTACTTTCTAAGAGTATTTAGACATCACTGACAAACTGTGAACCCATCTTGAGCCAGCGTGGTGATTAATGCTCAAACCTTCTCCATGTGAGAAAGAGGCCTTTGCTCAGAAGTGGACTTTGATAGGCTGATGACGAAAAATTAAATTAAAGTTCGAAGTGGATTTATTCCAAACTGCTATCAAACACACAGAAGGAGATTGAGTAAAATGAAACAAAAAATCGATTTTATTTTATTTATTCCACAGTCGATGTCTCATCGAATACTCTTTTGGTATGAACAATTTTTCAAAACATCATTTTCTTGTATTTACAAGTGTTTAAACTATCAGCTGCCACATCATGTAACGTTTAATAAATACATTAAAAAATAAATTATAGCTATCTCATACAATGGCACTACTTACTAATCAACTATTTTTAATTAATTAAATCTAAAAAATAATACTTTATACAAAAATATACATATATAATATCATTTAATACATCTGTAACTATCGTAAATAGATCAAAAAATATTTCAGAAAAATCCAGCATTTATTGAGAAGACTAAAATGTTAATTGTATAAACATACTTATTTACAATATAAATTTATTTAAATGAAATAATTTCATTGTATACATTAAAAATATAATAAATTATGTACTGTATAATGTATATGTCTGTAATATACGAAATGCTTTATACTTTCTTCACGCGGTCTCAGTCTGTGTGTTAACTTTCTTGAGTGTTTTCGTTCTACCGCTGAAGTAATCTTCTATTTCTTGTAGCGTCCTTCCTTTTGTTTCAGGTAAGAAAAAGTAGAAGAATACCATACCTGGAATACCAATGTTGTGGATGAGAAAGAAATTACAGTAAAAGTATTGTACAGTATTGTACCTTTGGGGACCCTTCGAATCGTTAGTACATATAATATACATATATAACTAGAAGACCCGGCGAACTTCATATCGCCCTATAATCAAGAAATATCTGTTACGTTTTTTTATTTATATTTTTGGAGTTTACCTAATAAAGCCATAAATCTGCGTGTTTTGAAGTGCGACAGAATGATTGACATATTAGTTAGTTGTCAAATCTAATGTCAAAAAAAAACGTTTGTATCAACAACTACTAATAAATAAAAAATTAATTAAAAAAAACATTGTCCAGCGGACAAAATTGTGAATCTAAACCATTCCCAGATCCCCTTGAACACACACAAAAAATTTAATAAAAATCGGTCCAGTCGTTTGAGAGAAGTTCAGTCACATACACACTCACAGAAGAATTATATATATATATATATATATATATTGGTTCTGTTCTATTTATATACTCTTGCCGTTATCAAACTAATAATTGCTAATAATAAATATAAGTTATTGTATATACCTAAATATATAGCAACTTGCATTACTTATCAGTCGGGTCACACACAAAAAGAGTAATACTCGTAAGCATATTCTTATAGTTATCTCACAAAAATCATTTATACTTCCATCTCTGTTCAATTATAGAGATATAAGTTAATGATTATATAATGCAAGAAATTGAAATATGTTCTACAAAAGACCGAACTCACACTTTTATATCAACAATTACCATCAAATAATATTATAGACAAAGTCAAGTCTCCGAATGCGAAGTGTCTGATAGATCGAAGGGAAATAAGATAAAGAAAGCAGACCTCACAACAAAATGGAAATAATAAATTACCAGGATAGAGAGAGAGAGAGAGGGAGAGAGAGAAAGAGACAGAGTATTATAACCATTCTTACCAGCTATAGACATCGCTCCATACAGTCCGAATGTTCCGTAGTCGTAGAGCGCGTGTTTGAGGTAAGGAAAGGTCTTGACCACCGTGAAGATTGACAAGTGAGCGGCGCATGTGGTCATACCACCGATGATACCGCGGACCTGGGTTAATACACGAACTATACTTATAATAATAAGATTATTTACATTTATTTTATATGACATTTTGTATATATAAACTAAGATAGTCTACATAAATTTGTAATCCTTTCATATCTATGTACATACGTTATTTCCTTTATATTTCAAATTTGAATATTTAACTACGATTTCTTGTCTTAGTAACATCTGTATCTTGATAAAAGTATTTAGCAAATCCAAAGAAGTTTTCTTTAACCTGTCTTAATATCGAACACATGCATATAAGTATTTAATGAACTCATTTTACGTGCATCGATTTTAAGTAAGCAAAATTATTGACTTATCAAAAGTTTGAGAATATATTTTTTTGTAGATAATGCAATGAATTTAGACCTTTTTAAGTGAAATTTCGTTAAAAAAATATGTTTAGCTTTTGATTTGAAATGTAGTATGCAAAGTTATATGGTATAGTTTACCTGTGTAGGGTAAACTTCGCCTATCATAATCCAGGGTACGATCAGGTAACCCAGGGTACAGAACACCGTGAACAGGTAAATGGCAGCGATCGGTATCCACGAGTGTTGTGGGGGAATGTTGTTGTTGTTCCAGTACTGGACGTAGTACATGTACACTGATAGGGTTATCATTGTGGAGCCGCAACCGAACGCTGTACAGTCAACGACAGAAGTGATTAACATTTTTTTTCTTTTTTAAAAATGGTACAGTCATCAACAGAAGTGATTAGATTTTTCGTGATTTTTGTAAAGTAGTACAGTCAACAACCAAAGTGGTATTAGAATTTTTTGTTCTTTTTGGTCAGTTAATATACTCGTTATGTAAGTGGTACTGTCATCAACAAAAGTGTTTAGAATTAATATTTTTTTATTTTTTTGCAAAATAATTATAGCCTTTATGTAAGTGTATACTAAGTTGAATTTCAATTGATATATTTATATTATATTTTTACACAATAATTATTTCAGTTAGTGACGTTGCAATATCTAAAAGAGAATAATTCAAAAGTATAGTTTATTATTATTAATAGATAGTTTAAGTTGTACATATATCTTAAAACTTTTGTTCTTTTATGTTTAATATTCCAATTAACTTACCAGATACGAATGTAAGTGGTCGTCTACCACATCTCCTACACAGAATACAACCGACTACAGTGAACACTACACGCAGTATACCCATTGATATCGTTAGATAATACTTGTCCAACGACGCGCCTGACGCCTGGGGATAACACATGTATTTAGAAATTTATTAATTATTATAAATTAATGAGAAGAATGTATTTATTTTAATGAAATCATAAGAAAGTTTGGGAAGTGCAAGAGTTAATAAGAAATTATTGGTAATGATAGAAAATGAGACAAACTATAACTTGTAAATTGTCTGTTCATTATATAGTAAAATAATCGATACATAGGATGAAATGTAGCAATTAATTCCAAGGAATATATAATATTAAGTCCAAATATATTACGATAATGTAAAATAAACCATAATACCTCAAAAACTTCAATAGCGTAGAAGGTGATGGTGTTGACACCGCACCATTGATATATGAAGAAATACAAGGCGAGGATGCCGAACGGCTTCAGAGCGGAAGGAGATAGAATAGCCTTTATTATCTCCTTGGAGGTTTTTAAACTGAAATATTATTATATGGTTAAAAAACACACCTATTTTAAACATTGAAAGTATGCTGAATTTAATTATTAAAGTAATTCAAACAAAATGTTCAGAATTAAAATGAATATTTCGATGTATTTAAAAAAATAGTTAAAACATTTAAAAAACACGCTTTAATAAATAAACCGAAATAAAAACAAAAAAGCGATATTTTAATTATATCAAATTATGGATAAGAGCTATAAAGAAAAATGTGTAAAAAAAGAGAAAGAAGCGTAAACTTTCTGTCGAGTCGAAAATCGAGTCCAAAGGAATTATTTTCAAAGATACAAACAAACAGGTGAAGATTATAAAAGCGTGGTAAAAATCTATTACAATAATAAAGTAATTAAAGTAATTTTATCATCTTTCACAATACAATTCTAGTGTCGATATTGAAAAATGTTTTATTACGCGGTCATCATTAAATCCTAATCTAATTATCGTCATCTTTACTCTCGTGACAGGTTAATAGTACCAGTAAATATAATCGTAGAAACAATAACAAAACGTCTTGTTTATTATACAAATGTGTTCAGGACCGAAACAATATTTTATATAGAACGATATAATTATATGTACATGCTTTGTAAATGAATAAACTGAGGATAGACATATGAACTTTACTAGCTGTTTTCAATACGTCTGTGTACATGCTTCTTCATTATACCGTATTTTAGAATTAAATTATAACGAATACCGATTCTTGGGATACTTTTCTTATTTATTCATGAGTCCAGGGAAGGTTTAAAAGGTGAGAAAATTTGGAATAATTGCCGGTAAAACCCTAAAAACAGCCCTATTCTATTTCCCATACAAACGTTTTTTTGGCATTAGATTTGACAACTAACTATGTAATATGTCAATCATTCTGTTTGATTGAAACAAGACAAACCTGATTATTTATGGCCTCTAAGACCTAATAGAGTTCGCCTGGTCAGCTATACCTACATATATTACTCTTGACCAAACTAACGCGGACGAAGTCGCGGGCAAAAACTAGTTACTAAATAAATTTATCTTTACTAACTGACTTAACTAACATAAATTTATCTTTACTCACGGTTCAACATGATTTTTCTCTTTAAACGTAATCATCTTGTCTATCTCCTCTTGCAAGTTACAAGTCGATCCTCTCAACTTAGCCAACGAGCTCTCAGCCTTGTCCTTTTTGTCCTGGGTCAAAAGATAGTTGGGCGTCTCCGGTAGTAGAATCATTCCCAACAAAGACACTATAGGAACTATAGCGCTCACACCAGCTAATACATTCCATGTTGTTATACTGCCTATAACGTACTGTAATAAGAAGAAATAATATATATTATAATCAAAATAATATGAACAACTTTAAGTTAGAATCATTATAAGTGTATTGCATTTCGTTCTATATAAATTTCAAATAGAACCCATATAAGAGAATGAAGATATATCTTGAGAACATTATGGTAATAAAATCCCGACTAATATTATAAATGCGAAAGTAACTCTGTGTGTCTGTCTGTCTGTTACGCTTTCACGCCCAAACCACTGAACTGATTCTAATGAAATTTGGTACAGATGTAGAGTTGACCTTGAGAAAGACCATAGGAATTATTTATCCGAGACTTTTGAAAGGTTCTCTTGGAAGCGCGATATAGCCGAACTCCACGCGGGCGAAGCTACGGGCGGGAAGCTAGTGCTTTATAATTTATATATATTAGTTGTTATAATAATTTATTTTACTCCATAGACATTCATATGTCTAAGTCCAAGTCAGTTTTATTTTCTCATTCACTCCCTCGTCATTATGAACGCAGCATCTCATATGACGTATGTATCTGTAGTTATCTAATGATTACCTTACTTGTTTGTTTTGCAGGTAATTCTAATTTTGCGTGAATAAACGTGCTTGAGTAACGATTAGCATTTATCAACGTCTGATTAATATTGCACGAATGGGCGTCACTTAACACAAATATAAATAAAGTTATATTGAATTTATATATTAAATTATCGAATTATATTATAGAATGCTTAATAATAAATCATTGAAATAAAACTATATTATATAGTGATTTAAATCTTATATACTTTCATTCAAAAATTATAATATCAAAATAATAATTGATATCAAATACGAAAGTTAAATCAAAGAATACAGTTTTGTCTATGTTTGTACTAATTACGAAACTCTGACACAATAATAATAATTAATCAACATGATAAATAAAAATTAATCATAATATTTATACGTGAAGGGAAAATTTATTAGCACTTTTTAAGAATTTTGCAGGAACATGGAATTAATGCCGTCAAAGTTTATATGAATAAAGTGCATATAGTTTTAATATTAAATGTATATAAGACAACACATATAACACTCTACAATGACTTTCACACACACATAATATGTCAAATTGTGAAGATTCCTCAATGTGTGTATTATCACTAAATGTCATTTCTATTCTCGTATTGAAGAAGAAATAATCAACTAATTATGTTCAAGTATAGACTGTTTGGCGATATCTAGCACACATTATATTATATAAACACATACATATATATATATATATATATATATATATATATATATATATATATATATATATATATATATATATATATATATATATATATATATATATATGTGTCGCGGTGTTAGACATAGAACTCCTCAGATGAAATTTTGTGAGCATATTGAGTTGTTCTGAGAATCGGCCAACATCTATTTTTCATACCCCTAAGTGATAAAGAATATTAAATAAATAAAATAAAATATTCACAACCCAAAATTTTTGTATGGTAAAACAACGTTTGCTGGGTCAGCTAGTCTTATATATATATATATATATATGCTTGCGTCTTTTTCATTCCCATCACGACTTCCATAATTATTTTTTTTGCGTCTAAAATATGTTCCATAAAAGTGTATTGTAAATAGACAACTGACTATAAATTATGCATATAGTATTTAATTGTCTTGTTTAATAATTTATAATGTTCCTTTTAAATGATCGTTCGGATTAAATAACGAAAAAGTATTCTTATTGTTATTTCAAATAAGTTATTTATCAATGCAAATCAAACCACTCAACTTCATACAATTTTTCGTAGTTTACTGTAATTAATTATTATAAGTAAAAAAATATTGTTTCAAAGATATGAAACTACAAGATATTTTGCATACGGAAGAACTATTTTCATCTAAAATGTCATAATAAATCATAATTGTTTGCAAATTATATTGACTATCTATTAAAAAGCACAATCTGTTTGATAGATAGTGTTTACGGATAAAAGATACTTTTATAAAAGGTAAATATTTACAATACTTGATACGGATTATGAAATAGATTTTCAGTTATACGAAATAAACAAGTACTTTATATAGTTTGGGAAAATAAATCTATAGTAATAATAATTATATCTGAAATCTTTCTTTATAAAAATATTAACTGGCGACGTTACTTCAAAACGTGTATATTTTTATCGCTCATGTAAATTTATTAATTACCGTATTGTTATTTTGTTAATGATTTGTTTGTGTTGACTGAGTCAAATTAGGCCTTAGTTTTGTTTTAATGATTCGCGTTAAGATATTTCTTTAATTAGAAATTCTGTGTTCCTTTTTGAGATTCCCTATACCATTATAATAAAATAATTTACTTATTTATGCTAAAGGAAACAAACAAGCAAACGGCCTACCTGATGGAGGTAATTACTGTCGCCCATGGAAATTTTATTGTTATACTTAATAGAACATGTCACCTACCAAGAACATAATCACATAAAAAATTTCACTTAGCATTTTATCCGTTATCCAATACCAGAACAATAATTTCGATACAAAATAGTTACAAATTACTTACAACAAAGTCCAACATTCATAGTCTTGAGACTTATTGCAATTAGAGAGACTATTATTGAGACATATTATATTGCAAAAAATTTCCTTCATCTATACACACCTGTATGAGAACGCCAGTAGAAACGCCGACAGAGGCTAGCGCTCCCAGCATCCCTCGAAGATGAGGCTGGGATACTTCACATGTGTACACTCGAGCTGGAGCACCCACCATTCCAGATCCCAGGCCTATTAATAGTCTACCTATAATGATGACGTCACTATTAGGATGGCGTTACACTGTTTTAGGTATAGTCATCGCATATTTGGCGAGGCTAATAGCTAGGTATTTTAAACAATCCTTACCTACATACATCATTGGCACGTTTACAGCCGATGCGACTAGAATCCATCCAATGATGAGAGGCACCTCTGAGAAGATGAGTGTTTTTCGTCTACCGATAGCATCCATAAGATAACCACTCAGGATACAACCGATAGGAGTGCCCGCAGAACTTAAACTGGCTAAAAACAAATTATTCAACTTAAAACAAAGCAAAATCCAAAGCTTCATACGAAGAAATTAACTGCTAGAATCGTCCTAAGACATTATGAAGACTTACCAATCCAACTAGCTTCATTTTCTGTCACATGTAAACTTGACGTTTCACTCTTTAACTGAGGTAGTGCTGTGGCTGAGAACCCAAAGGCCATACCCGTATTAATGGTACCCAAGTTAGCTACAAACGCTGCTACAATCTGTTTGAAAGCCTTCCCTCTACCTTCCTTGCCGGGCTTGACTTTCTTCACTGGGATAGGAGTCTTGGTAATGAGCGGCGGAGGGCCGGATTGTATGAATGGCTTTGATTCATTCCTGAAAACGAAATCAATAATCGTAGTTTTGATAGAACTCACGATTGATGCTACTTTTAATTAGTCATTAGACATGACTTAATGTTGTTAAAAACCTATATGAAAAATGTTGAAAAATATAATTCTATGAAGAACATAAAACAGTAATCTGTTTAAAATAGACTTTGGTATCCAATAATTTTCCAGCTTTCACATAAAAAAAAAAAAAATAATAATAATAATAATAACTATACAATTGTCTGGAAATATAGCGCTTTTTCTGCTATAGACCATTTACCCATAATAAAAGTTTTGTAAATTCGTAATTCAAGGAAATTAATGAATTTAACTCTTCCTAAAAAATATCTTGTTTTTAAATCTAACTTCAGGAAGTAATGAATGTTTTATAAGCTTTCGTTTTTAATAGAAAATCTAAATTTTCTTATGGCATTACATGTTTTTATATAAGCTCATTACATCTGTAAGTATAGGAAGGCGATACAAGTTGTAGAACAACAGTGTAAACCTAAACATATTATAGCCACTTATTATGCAGGGCTTAGATTATAGTGTACAAGAAAAACATTAAGATATTTACCGGCAATTTGTGGTCATACTAAAATATAACACGGTATTGTTCATTAATATATGATACTCGTTTAAGTATCAAGCAATAGTTATTTTCATACTACAATAAGATATGGTTTGTTAGTTTGAGTGAATATATTTGTGTGTGTGTGTGTGTATGTGTGTAATGTTTATCATTTCATCCTGCTAAATGAATTCTCATTTCATTTAGACAGACTACATTATTAACATTCCGTTACAATTTAATAAAAAATATATGTACTCATTTCTCTTGTGACTAAACTCAAATTTCATAATCGTTCACTACATTACCTTACGTTACGTTTACATCGTAAAACCTAAAACTAATTCGTTAACAATACATATCATCTTACTATCAGTTTTCGACGTGAAACTTAACGCAAAATTATCATTTTTTCATCCATATAGTATAGTTGATACTACCATTAAAAATTTTCATGATGTAAAGTTATATGTGGGTTTACAAAGCAAACTTGTTATTTTACTAGGGGTTTTGCGAATAAGTCTATCTATGTATAATAATTATTGATAAATAAATAAAATAAGTCACATATAAAATACACATTACACTTTGTTATTATAGTCTAGATTATACTATTTATCGACCCAAATGGACACAAACATAAAACAAAAAACCTCAAATATACATAAAAACAACATAAACAAGATGAAACAACGGACTTAAACAGTATTTCATTCATAAATCTCCCAATATAATATTAACGCAATTTAATGAGTAAAAAACAGAAAACTTATCGTATGTAGTGTGACTTGTAACTTAGACTAAACATAGATACTCATGTAGGTCAAGATAACTTTAATGATTACCTTTTTGCAATAATATAATTATTTTCGATCAAATTTAATATTAATTAAATTATCACATATAAGCAAAAAATTATAATTTTATTTGTTTTTTATATTAAAATGTCAATAGTGCTAAATAATGGTGTTGAACCAACTAAGACGTAGTAGATTAAATAAAAAAAATCAATTAAAACCACAAAAAAAATAGTGTCAGGAACAATACAATGTATAAATATAATCGTATAATATAAGTTCTTATAGACGAGTACTTCAAATGTCAATGACCGCATCTATTAAAACAGATATCACAATACATAAGAAATTATTTATCGTAATAAAAAAATATATTTTTGTTGAGAAAAAATAAATTTACACAACTTTATACGTAGCCATAGAACAATTTTATGATTAAGTGCATTCATAATTGCCCTCATGAATCACAAATTTCGTTTTCAGACCCAAATAAAACAAAATTATCACTTAAATTTCTCCAACTGTAAAAAAAAACATTAACAATTAGAACAACTAACAAGCAAACTATCTGAAGGTAAATGCCTAATATAAATATAAATAAAATAACAGATAAGTGTGGATAGTAGGCATAAGAAAAAATAAATAAAAAGAAGCTCTGGATCAGCAGATTAGAAGGATATATTAAGCATTATAAATCATAAAATTAAAAAAATAGCCAAAATCAATTCAGCAATTTAAACTTCATGTACAAATTCTTTCACTACATCTGACAATAAATAGTTGCTTGAAACAAAACAATTACTTCATTCATCTCAATAATCTGCTACAATTAAAATAAATACTTATTCTGATTTATTATTTAATATTATTATTTAAAATTAATATTAAATAAATAAAATTAATTATATCGTTACAAAAGAGAACAATTGTTAAAATAAATATTTACTTTTAATGACTTCGCTTTAATACGTCAGACACGATCTCGTGATAAATTTAAGTTCATTACACATATACAAGTAATTCATAAAAAATATATTATATAGATACATATAAAACACATATTTATATTATGTGTATAATAATATAGTCTTTTTTATGTAAAATTCATTTTTATATACCTAGCTTTACATATTTGATATAAGAACTAAAAATATTTAACCATATAAAGTTATTGATAAAAAAACTTATTAAAATTAAATATTGATTAAAAATTATTGGTAATTCCTATCATTAATCTTCTTTGAAATCATTTAATTCTATTCATAGTGTCTTTTTTATGAAAATATCTTTCCAATTCTTACTATAATTACAATAAAAAAATAATTTGGGTTCATAACAGGAAATATTATCTTAGAATAAATCTTTATATATATATACTAGTAAACTTGGCGAACTCCGTTTCGCCACCAGAAGGCTTTTATATAACATTTAGTTTGGTGATTAAAAGATGAAGAATTTTTTGTTTCATATTTGAAAAGGAACATTTTTATTTCATTTCACAACAGTAATGAATTCATTTCGATTACAAAAATGAAGTTTTATTTAGTTGAACTTCTCTAAGTAAATGAAAGTGAATCCAAAGTAGATACCGAATCGAAGCGTTATACGTGTCCGCAAATTATCCGTTTCATTTCATTTCAAGTGCTCCTTTGTAAAACACATTTTTGTTTTTTGGTCTAACTTTAACACAAATAATGCGTATGGTTTCCAAACTCGTGAACACGCAAAATATAACTGCCCATGTGAAAAACAATGATTTTCTAAATTTATCCCGCAAATACTAAATGGTTTTAAGAGTTCAAACTACAAACACATTATCTAAATATTTTTATTTTTATATAGTAGATTTCTTACAAATATCTAATTGTCATCCATACGTCATTACATATCTGTCATTATACGTCAATTGCATAGCTGTCAATTGTGTTTCGTAATTCCACGTTTTATAGTGACTGACGTTTCATGTCAAGTCCCACGGGAATGCTGTCGAACGGGATAAAAAGTATCCTAGTGAAATTTCCTGGTTCTAAACTACCTCCCTGCCAATTTTCAGCTAAATCGGTTCAGCCGTTCTTGGGTTATAAGTGGAGTCACTAACACGACTTTCTTTTATACATATATATAGATAATTCTTCTGTGAGTGTGTATGTCACTGAACTTCTCTCAAACGACTGGACCGATTTTGATGAAATTTTTTGTGTGTGTTCTTGGGGATCTGGGAATGGTTTAGATTCACAATTTTGTCCGCTGGACAATGTTTTTTTGATTAATTTTTAATTTATTAGTAGTTGAATAGAATAATTTATTAGTAGTTGTTGATACAAACGTTTTTTTTTTACATTAGATTTGACAACTAACTAATATGTCAATCATTTTGTCGCACTTCAAAACACGGAGTTTTATGGCTTTGATAGGTAAACTCCAAAAATATAAATAAAAAAACGTAACAGATATTTCTTGATTATAGGGAGATACGAAGTTCGCCGGGTCTTCTAGTATATATATAAATCTGAGGAAAATATTCACTAAAAACTGAGTGACCTATTGACTTGTAATTACATTATTAAATAGTTATAGCCGTCTTGACCAACATTGAGTAACACTCTACGTTTATAGATGGGACATGTTTTATAGTTTTCTTTACCTTAATTGTATACAAAAATCTCGAATTAGCCTTATACTAGATGCAAAGAGAATTTTAATACCAAAACTATTAAATATTGTTTTAATTACAAATATAACATTCTGTGGGAACTCACCCTTAAGAATATAGAACGTTCTCTTGTTTAGTTCGTATAAATATTTAATAATGATAACTAAGGATATAAGTGAATAAAGAATTATTATCATTAAAATACTATATTTATAATGATATATATTTAGTTTTATCTTATTTATATTATAACTAGGTAACAAATATAAAATAATAAAAATTGTTTTAATAATCCCAAATTCTATTTTTATTTCAAATTTAAGTATGTATTATGATAAATTAATTTTACTGATATATTAGGCTCACGTAAGATATATTTGTTGGGTAAATTATCGATAGGTACGTATTTAAAAGAGAGGAAGCTAACAATAATGACAGCATTTACCAATTGCCCTAATAAACAACGTGGAGAAACGAAACTTACGATTCGAAAAAAAATATACATACAACACCACAGAAATAACCACAGCCATAAAAATAACATAATATAAATACAATACAAATAATAATATAATCGAAAAAATATCTTTCGTTATAATCTACATAAATTAAGAAACATGATAAAAATACGTAAAATTATACAAAGAAAATATAACTATTCTAATATTTTGAATATTTAAATCCCCAAAAACGTAAATATTTATAACAATACATAAAAATGCCTTAATATATAACCGCTACCACTATATTTCGAGAGAGCTCTCGCATTTTACGAGTGTTTTTTTATTTATGGATATATTTAAAAACTCAAAAACTTCGGTACTAAACAATCAAAAAACATGCTCGTAAATGCTAGAACCACTCTAACCCACTATGAATCCCAAACCGTTCTCCGTAGAACCAAAACCTTCTTTGTTCCCATCCAAACCTGTACTTAGAAAAACTTACATAGAGCCGTAATTTGGAAAACTATCTTCATTCATCCTGTCATCGCTGCAGCACCTGCTAACATTACATCTTAACATTGAACATTTGGAATATACGAACATTTTAAACTCATAGTTTGATTAAATAAAAGAATATTAAAACTAAAATTTAACAAAGTTTACTGTATCTCAGAAATCTTAACGGAAAGACTGTCAAACATTCAGCCATGTTTTATTTATAAAGTATATTAAATGTTAAATTATCTGTTCGTATCCTGACATCAAATTGATTCCAAACACTTGTCATTTCAAATTTACTCATACCATCCAGTATCAATTAACCAATGATTAATAGCATTGTAATTGTCATTACCAAATCAATACACACAATGTCTGTATTTGCACAGATTATAATGTTCATACTTCTTGGTGATATAAAACCTCTTTAGATTGAAATAAAAAACAACAGGCCGCAAATAATTTAATAGATAATGCGAAGTCTAAAAGTGAGATATATAAAATGAATTTATTGTACCTATATAAATGCGAAAACTGTTATAATGATATTCAATATTCCAATGTAAATGTTGAGAGAACCAGTCTTGAATTTGTAATATTAAACATCACATGACTCGTGCCACATGACTTATTATAAATTTTAAATAAAATTATAATTATGACTGGTTTTTAACGAATTTTTGATTGAGAGATTTAAAAGAAAAATATAAAATAAGACGTCACTTATAAAAACAGGAGATAGATGGAAAAAGGAAAAAGAAAGATCTTGAAATTAATATATTTGTACGTAATAATAGTTTTATTATATGTTTAATAAGATAATAGTTTTATGACGAAGTTTTACAACATCTCATGATTTGAACACAACGCGACCATAAGGGTTTGTCAATTTTGTTTTCATTGATATTAATAAAGAAAGAAAAAATATTAAAAAAAAACTTTCATCCAAAATAACGTCGTATAAATTTCGGATAATGCAAAAACATTTATTACGCGGATTATTGTACGTAAATTATTGATAAAATCAATAGATATGTCAGAATAAGTGGAATAAAACGGTGAATTGCATATAGATTAGTGCAAGAGATAGCTTTACGTAATTTCTTTTATTTTGAATATAGTAGGAAAGATGAAGATTAAATTTCACGCTTATCAAATATTAAGACCTTTGATGTTGATAAGATAGTGTGATTACTGATGACTGCATAATGTCACACGCGAACAGCATGATAGTATATATCCCAATTATGGGCAATAATTTGGCATATACCAATCGTGGGCAAACTATCCCAATGTTGGGAATTTTTTTTACGTATTAGTGAAAGACAGTATATATCCCAATTATGGGCAATAATTTGGCAAATACCAATCGTGGGCAAAGTATCCCAATGTTGGGAATGTTTTTTACGTATTAGTGAAAATTAATTAGAAACTCTATATATACGTGACTACAAAATGGAAATGTATGTATTTTGTACGAAGTTTGAATTTTATTTTCGGTAACAGAATCATTATGTCAATTTAGTTTGTTGTAAAAAAACGACAGTATTCGAATGTAGAAAGTTGAAAATAACAACATTGAATTCTAAATACGTATTGTCAGCGAATTACTTTAATTTTTTTTAAATAAAATCCTTATTAAATGACCAGCACAGAATAGAATTGAAAAATAAATAAAATATGATTTAATCATTGCCCAAAAACATATGAAAGTCAATATATCTTTTGCATAATTGATTGTAATATTATATCTTCAGATTTTAACATACGATTACTTCCAGGTATAAAAATATATATAATTACATCCTTTCGATGAGGCAATTTTCTTAATACCATTACATTATATACATACATAGTTCACTTTATTATGTAAAGTATAATACGTAAAAACTAAGTCATTAGGACCACACCTAAAAATATTCGACACGCGTTTTTCAAGACATACCCTAGAAGCGAATGTGGATTTGGCAACAACTCGGAAACGGGCATAAAACACCACAAATATATTTAAATCTGTACATTCTATTACTTACATTTAAATGAATTAATATTGAAGTCTAGACGAATATTTACGTATAATACGATCATTTATAATACAATGTATAATAACAGAATTTGTATAACAACTAAATGGATTGAATATAATGCAATATAACAAGATTATTTGTATAATTTATATTATAAACTACAGTTATTTCAAACTTAAGTTTAACTTAATTTTTTTAATGTTTTATTTATATTTAAATAGTTTTTTTTGTCGAGACTTCAACTAATTTCTATTATTATATTGTTAATATGATATATTTTATTTAATATTATAACCAAATGACGTTTAGGATTGTTACATTGGCTGTGTTCCAAATGCCTTAACCTTGCACTCTGAGACCAAAACGTATTCGTATAGTCATTTCAGTTTTTATTTTAATAGTATCTATGGAACTTTTATAGTTTTAACATAACTAAAAAAAGAAAGTATCGATTTGCTATTAAAATAAAACATATATTTTTCTTTCATTCTCATATCAGTTCCATCATAATTTTATGAAGGAAATAACAAAAGATTTTTGTTCGGTCATTGTTTTTAGCTATGCTTTAACAAATACATACTCAAGAGTCACACGTAGAAATATATTGAACATACAGCATTCAAAAACTAATTTATATCTACCCTACATGATAATGACATAATATTTTTTTAAGTATACCGCTTCAATTGTTTCATATATTGTAAATTATTATGAAGTTCTTATTTGAAGTAATTAATAATATAATTGGCAAATGTTTTCGTTACTATCGTCACATATAACATGTCTGAAGCAGCACATTCAACACGTGATAGCGTATAGTGATAACGCACCTTTGTTTATGTGTCTTTGTGTGATGTTCCTAACAGAAAAGTCTTTATAACTAATATTATAACTTAAAAATATTATATATAACACTTAAATATATATATTGCTTATGTTAAGATTAATAATTGCATCTTTTATCCATCCCTTCAAATAATTAACTATATACATTTTAATTTCTACTTATTTGGAATAAACGGTAACAGTAATTCTCATGCTGTATAACCGGTTTTATTTTTGGAATTTTATGAATCGAAAAAAGGTTTTAAAAAAAAATTTTGCCAAATAAAAATCCGGTTTCTAATAAAGACTATATTATATTAAAAATAATATTCATATAAATATTATTCGTGTTATTTCATTACTAATGCATATAGATAATAATATTGTGAAATAGCGATACTGTGGATCTATATTTAGCATCATCCAGACTCAAATAAAAATATAAAATATGTAAATTATTATATACCAATATTTAGACATCTAAATTTAAGGACATTCGCAGTTGTGTACAAACAGAGTACTATTTATTCTGATAAAGACAAAGTAAATAATCGAAACCCTATTTCTTCATATCTATGTAGCTCAAATTTTTATTATAGTACACCAAACATATTAAGATAAAAATTTATTTAAATATAAAATACTTAAAAAATATAGACTTCAATTTACTAACATAACAATATTTACAATAACTAGATTTGAAATTTAATTCTATTATTAAGTGTTTAAATCTAAATATATATAGTTTTAGTCAGATATGTACAATTCTTGCAAAAAGTTACTGCCATTTTGTATTTTTACTATACTAATAACTTTTATGAATAAATTAATGTATACTCACTTTTCGTCTGCCATTTCGGTTTCGATGTAATAAAATGTTCGAAAATAATATCACAGGAAGCTTATTTATATATTAAGTAATATCACACGAAATTCACAAATCACATAACGAAGGACATGCATGCATTGTATCTCACATGCGTCCTTCCCCACCGGCCGTCATTTGTGTACTGACAGCATGCGCATGATTTCCAGCATAATATAACAATTTTATATCAACTATCAGACCCCGTCGATACACGAGTTTTCCCGCCAAAGACTATGTCAATAAATTCACGTGGTTCATACGTAGCACAGATTATATAATATATATTTTTTGCATACAACAATATATTTTGTAACAATTTAGTTTTATATACCAAATAAACGGAGTTTAGAGTCGCATTAAAAGGATTTATAAAAAATATTGTAATGATTTTTGTACTATTTTTATTAATATGTTAATAAAAATAGTACAATATTCACTAATATTATTTAATATTGACTATCAATAAACAAAACAGTAAGACAGGAGAAGTAACATATATATTATAATCATTAAAAAACAAATAATTGTAAGCAAATTCTTCACTATACTATGTTTAAAACCGAAATTTTGTTTCTATTAATATAATGTTTAATTCATTATTACGGTTAAACTAACAAGTACTTACCTAATTAATGACTTAGTAAAATAATTTCAATTGTATTTATTGTACTGAATTCATAATAATTCAATAGCTACCATTGTTTTATTTCTTTAACTTACTTTTACAATTTAAATACTGACGATTAATTTTGTCAGCTAGTAAGTATAACTTTTTGAAATAACAATTGTATAAATAATTTTTATTGGAAAAGGATCTTCATCATAAATTCCCAAAAAAAAAACATTTGACTAAAACCTATATTTGTATTATGTGTCTTACTCAATTAAAAAAAATAAACTGAATTATAGGACCGGATAAAATTTTGATTTAAGTTACGTAATAAATTCACTACAAAGTATGGAAAATAAGATTAATTTTACAAATTATATTAAATGCTGTCAGATATTCAGATCAACTGACACTTTGGTAGAGTAAATTTATTATCCTTACGACACGTCTGCAACCACAATCTAAACGCAGTAGTATATAGTTAATAGTTCAAACATTCACGTCTTCACACGATAGCGTATGTAAATAAAAAACTGCAAACTGTAAGTATTTACTTTGACTATACAAACTTGTAGTAAGTATTTAATGATAACTTAATATTTTATCGTAACGATTCCGTTCGTACGTCAGTTGATGAAGTATGTCGAGTGTAATTAATCGCACTACTCTTATAATTTTCAGCGTTCTTTCTACCAAATTATTTATATATTGAATCGTCATCTTATCTCAAATACATTTTAAAGGTGAAGTTTATATTCGTGACGTGATTGTGCGTTTCTTTGTCTTAAACAATAATTATTTATTGTAATCAGGAAACGATTAGATGATAAGTCTTTTAAACAAATTGCTAATTAAAGCTATCAAATTAATCTTATGTGATAATGTAGAAGAAGAATTTATTCTCCATTGTTCTGTATACATTTCTTAATACAAAAGCCTGTAAAATATTTTTATTCTTAAAACGACTTTTTAAACAGAAATAGACATAAATTATGTTTAAAATAGTAGCCATTAAAAATACTACATTCTTTGATGAAAGAATTTAATTATGAAGCATTAAAAAGTTTATTTATAGTTAATAATTAATTTGTCAAATATTATTTCATATCATTGAAGATTTATAAGAAACCGATTTATCGTTTCGGAGATCAATTGAAATGTAAAGATAGATAAAATAAATTAAAACCAACAGGGAGTAAATATTCTGGAATATTCTTTTTATATAACATAAAAAACGTTTTATCCTTATCCCTTCATTTTCAAGTTAATTGTTTAAACAAATATTTAAAAAAATTGCAACTTCTGTAAACCATATTTGTAATTTTCAAGATTTTTTTTACATTGTTTCAAATGTTTACGTCCATCTATTACATGTCGCATTACAAGCGGCGTCAGAGTAGGTGTAAATTAAAGGCTCGTCAAAGCGTCAAGGTCATTATGGCGATAAAAATGTATCGCAAATTTTGACCGTGTAGCCTTATATTTATAATAAATTCTTTATTTTAATTCGCAGAAATAATGTCAAATTTATAATTGGTTACCTTTCCTTAAGATTTGCCAAAGATATTCAATAACATAGTTGTACTGTTGCCCATCGATTTATTTATTTAATAATGGTTGAAATAAATATGAAATTTGTATATGTTCTACTTTAGTTTTTATACTTGTGTTCCTTAATTTACTACTCTTGATGATCGTACAGGTTACTTTTTAATTATAATATAGACATATAAAATAATATATAAAGACTTGAGATCAAAAATCTTTTGTTTGCTCTAAGGTAATAAACTTATTGAGTTTAAGATTTTTAAAAAATAAAAGTACATAAGAAAAAAAGCTATCCAAGTTTCTGCTTGTACATATAAAAAAATATATAAATATATGCGAAGTTTTATGAATTATGAATTATAAATATATCGTGTTACGTAGAACTGTTACATAAATATATTAAAAACTTAAACACGAGTTATATAGCTATATGTGATTACGTCTTTATCACACTGCAGACAGCTTATTTATGATACAACCGATGACACATTATTATAAACATATATAATATATATCTAATTCAATCAGTAATATTTTTCATATATTATGACATTCATAATTATTGTTTATGTTTAATCGAGTTCTTTGTTATTTTCAATGTCACGTTTACTATGTTAGCTCTGAAAATGTTAAGAATTTACTTTTAATGTGTTAAAATTAACACAGTATGTTGTTTAATATTCATTTCTTTTTATTTCAGCTGAAACAACTTATTTATTATATATGTGTCATATAGAAACATTTAGTAGAACTTATTCGGCCATTTAAAATAGATAAACAACTGAAAAATGAATAGCAAAAAATTGACAAATTTCTTTTAAAGGTCGAACAGATATCAAAGGAAAACAGTTGAAAAAAAAGTAGAAAAATACATTATTTTTCTAGCTTAAGGCTCGGCACAAATGGGCCACCGACCACAGCCACCGGTGACCAGCGACGGCGAGTTAACACATTTTTTAATATATTTTTTATAGACGCGCCACATACGCGCATTCTGTGGCGGCCACTCGCTACACCTACGGTAGTGTGAAATGTGTCCGTAGCGTGACAGTCACCGGTGACTGTGGTCGGTAGCCCATTTGCGCCGAACCTTAATACAAATAACTAAAAAAATAAATCTAATATAACATTGCAATCTATGGTGGACTAGGTTGGCAGGGAGCCTATAAATAACTAGTCAAATACCCTATTAAACAATAAGCAACTTAATTACTTTATATACAAAAAAAATCTTTAAATTCAGTCGTTCAGTAGATGTTACATAATGAATCATTCACGATCTTTTGCGATATTCAAGTTTGTTTTGAAACAAGCCTAGCTATTTAAAAATAATAGTTTTTAAACTGTTTAAAACATTAAAAATCGGTAATAACAAAGGGAAATATTTTTTTACACATTATCACAATGATGTTTTAAATGATTCTTTACAAAGTTTATGGAATAGTGGCATCTTCGACATCTTATCTTGTTTTGCAAAGTATTTTCAATAAATATAATATATTGCTATCCACAGATATATTCGATGTTGAAAGAATGAAGTAAATTACATGTTCGTTTGCCCTGCTTACCATCTTTCGTTACCATTCTTATTAAGATTAGTGACTTGTGACTTGTAACTAAGTGACTCCGGTCATTACCTGCGTCATTTTTGAAGTCAAATCCCTTCCCACGGATTAACAGGAGCAAAATTATAATAGTCACTTAGGAAAACAAACTAAGATGTTATAAATAACCATCGGAAAATCCAGCGATTGTCATTTTAAATTTAATTTAATTATCACCCGGCTACATGATTATCAAAGATGCCATGACTTTCATATTAACACACAAGGATATAAAAATATTATTGCTACTATTAAATTTGCGACGTTTTCATGTTGGCGCTAATTTTAATACAAAACAAGTTTAAAAAAATATTGGCGATTGCTTGTGTATTTCAATCACTCAACTAGTGTGGGATCCAGAAATTACATACATCATTAACAATCCTTGATTTTCATTTGTTATCATATTGAAATTCATTCAGTCTGCCTGTATTAACCATATATTTGTAAAAATTATACATTCGACATTTGTTTTATCTAAATAGTATAGAGTTTCCGTCATGGAGCGCATACAAAAAAAACGTTTATTTAAAAAACACCCTTGTGACTTCTTTTCAACCTAGACATAGTTGCCAATTCCACGAAAATTATGAAAATACTGGATAACACGTTTATGCAAAAACACGACGTTTACAAAAAATTAAATTATTTTCACCAATCTAAGAGCACCTTTTTTATCCCTACTAATATTATACATGTGAAAGTAACTCTGTAGTAAATTTGGTATAGACATAGAGTTGACCTTGAGAAAGAACATAGGACAGTTTTTATCCCAGACTTTTGAAAGGTTCTCTTGAAAACGCGATATAACCGAACTCCACGCGGGCGAAGCTGCGGGCGAGAAGGTAGTTCTTTATACAACCAATTAATGGCCATGATCGCTTCCTTAAAATTGTAGGCAAAAATAAAAATTCAGACACCGTAACCCGAAGGAAACTCAAAAGGTCACAAACTCTCGAGGTAAAGAGTCATGAGACGAAACTTGAGTTTGGGGAAAAGAATTGAATTGCATTCCGCGTAAGATATTAACATATGAAGCGTTTAAACAAAATAAAGGCGACTGTGACCCAAATTATTACGAAATACGTGTTTATTACTGATGTATTTGACGCTGAATGTAACATAAATATTAATTGACAATAATAGTGATTACGGATAAGGATTTCAAGTTAAAAACTTCTATTTTACGAATTTTATTTATATTATTACGATTTCATTGTTCATTTATACATAAACAGAAAGATTCTTAAGCAACTTTTCATTCAGTTCGCTAATTACTAAATATGACACACAAATCCCGAAACTGAGATAAATAAGAAATTATTCTTTATGTAACATAACGAAATATAATATTTTCCGCAGCATATCTTTATTTTACTGCTTTCTTAATCTTTTTTATCTAAATACATCAAATAATAGCACTTTAGGGGATCAAAATATATTACCACAGAACGGTGTGTTTGAAGAATGATAATAAATATGCGATAAGTACATGTTTGTATCGGACACTTGTGTATGAATATATTACTTACATATTTAAATTACAAAAGAAAACGACCTTCCAAATAAAAATATCGGAAATCGAAAAAAACACTGGCAGGCGTCTTTAAATTTCTTGGCACTTTTTAACTTTTGTCACATAATTTTGTCGATTGACAATATTTAAAAATAACTCATCGATTTGAATGTATTAACCGTTTGAATCTCCTGTTTTTTTAATATTTCAGAAACTTATCAATCCAATATTTTAGTTTTTAAAAGCACGCTCTTCTACACTGTTCAATACTAGCAAAAAATGCAGCAAAATTTTCCATTTATCACTCAAATAGTAAATCAGTAACATGGAGACTATGTAGTAAGGACAAACTTGAATTATAAATTTCATAATTTGATCTTTTTATTGCAGACATTATCTCACCTCAATTAAGACATGATAAAAATGTGCTCGCAATACAAAACAATTAGGCGGCTCATATAAGTAAAACAGATTAAAATATTTTATGAAATATAATACAAGAAACTAAATACTGCGTAGCAATAATTTTTTTCCATGGATAAAATAAAAAGCAAAATAAAATGTTATTGATTTATTTTTACTCATTGATACATCACGTGATATGTTTTGTTATTATTTATATGTAAAAAGAAAAATTTAATTTTCTAACATAGAATTAGTCTAAATTTAAAATATATATTTTTACTTAATGATACATATACTAAACACTTTTCACCTTTATACCTCAACTCCTTTTAATAAAACAATTAGGTATACGTTTTGGTGCATTAAGAAATTGCTTTTTATATAGGCAACTTGAAATATTAACATTTTCTCATCTTATAGTTTCAAAGGCACTTATAGAATTGACTTTTATTTAAGGCACTCATAGAAACTCTGTAAATGTCCTCTACTACCGATGGTCATCAACATTTTCTATCTTAAATAACTTTATGTAAATTCATCGTCATCTTTCTTATACAAGCGGTTACTTACCACTTGTAATTTTTCAATCTTTGTAATATTATTAGTCTTACGAATTGACCCTTAGGTTGGGGACCCCTGATAAGGTTCCCCTGGTTCTACAATTTGATCATTTTCTTCAAGCTCTCCGGATTCATACGAAGTCCCAGGCAGACGAATATATTGGACCTCTCTGAAACAAAAGTTGAAGTTAATAAAAATAAAGCAAGAAAGAAAAATAGGTAGTATGTCGACTTATATGTATGTAGTGTATTTGTTAGTCTTACGACAAATACGAATTAATAATTCATGTCGTCTTCTATGGTTTTGAACATTACTCCCAAAGTATGAGACATTATATAATATTAAAACAAAATTATAAGATATTACGCAAAGAAAATATGATTTACAGCTATAATGCTCATTAAAACACTTGTGTTTTTCTTAATAATTAAGAGTAAGTCGCATATTTTGTTTGTAATTTTATTTCTAGAAGAAGCACAGGAGTCACAGTTACTTAGCTGTTAATAAAAAGTACAGAAGCTTGAAATTCAAAAAAAAAAAAGGACAGTATAAAGGTAGCTTCATAAGAAACAGATTTACTATTGCATACTTCGTCAAAAAAATACCTTCAAATTTCGCAAATAAGATATAATTTGTCTCAGTAAAATTTATAAGTATAAAAAAATTAGTAACAGCATATTATGATATAATTTAGTTGGTTTAGTTAATGAGCATAAATGAAATATGAATAATAAGACAAGGCACGGCTTGTTAAGAGTCGTTTAAAAATATGTACGTAACAAACAAAATGACAGTCATCCATATTTAAAAATATCGACTTTACAATATCATTTGAAATTTTAACAAACTTCGAGTCAACTGCAATAATTTGACACTAGCTCCCTCTAATTAAATCCATACATCAAATATCTTAACCATTTAATATGAAGGATACATCGACGACGAATGTAAGTCAATAGTAAATTTATAATGATAATTACATATTTTCAGAAGAATTAAAACAAACATTCAGTAATGCTTACAATCTTTCTTATTAATTCAGTATATTTATTATATAATATATATTTTGAGGTTACGCAATAATTGTTTTTTTTTTTCCAGTAACTGTTAAAGGCTCGAAAGGATAATGTTGGTCCGACGAAAAATATCAAGAAGTGAATTTGGAGACATTTTCCATTGACCATTTGAAATTAATATACCTAATAAGTCTTTTACAATATATGAAAAAAATATTCGTAGTTAAATATGACTATTTATAGGAATTACTTTATTCAGTAGAAGATTAGAAGTTACCGTTACCCAAGCCATAAGCGGTCTTTTTCGTGCTTCTTAATTACCACAATACTCTAGTTATTAACAGTAGAATAGTTCCTTTGCAAATTGATATAATATTGTTTAGATAATATTCCTTTGATTATTAAAAAACCTTTTTTTTCCTGTCCTGATTCCACTTTACGTAGGGTCAGCACAACATGTTCTTCTCTTCCACAGAACATGTTATAAATAGTTTTGGCTAATTGTTTTTACGACCGACCGCCTGCCTGACATCAACCCTCTTTGGGAATGCATTAATCAGTGATGTCTAAATACTCTTAGAAAGTACATATGACTCGGAAAAATCACATTGGTACTTGCCCGGGCCAGGATAAAACCCGCGCCCTCGTGCATGAGAGGCGGGCCTTTTAACCACTAGGCCACCACTGACTTGATTGTTAAAAAACTTAATGAATGAAATTCAAATGGTCAATGGATTGAAATAAGGCATTTTAAATCTTTATTAAAACCGTATCAATGAAAAATATAAAAAGAAACTTAATTTTAATTTCTTTTCAACTACAAAAATTTTGATACTACGAAAAAATTTTTCAATATAATAAGAGTTTAGAAAGTAAACTCACACATAAACTCGATTTAAGGAGTAAGCTGGTGAAAGCATGATTAGAGCGTTACGAAAAGTGTGATGGGGCGGGGCGAATCAAAGTTGAGAGTGAGAAAAAGTTAGAAAGAGAAATAGAGATTACGTTTCATATATTACTATAGGAGTAAATGAGAGAGATGGTAGCCATATTCCTTCTCTTTCTCTCGTAGCCAGTTATACTCGAACTAAAGTTTTACTTGAGTATACTTATTATTTCCATGGTTATGCTACATTAGCTTTGACAAGTTTTCATTCATAATTCAAATTAATTTAGTTATTGTATGAGATTAATAGAAAATGGTTCATATCTTGTGAGGTAATGCGAACTTAAAGTAAGCACACGATTGTAAAATCTAAGGGATACTTGTTTCCCTAATATCAAAAGAAAAACTCTTCAGATAACAAAAAATAAACATTTTTTCTTATAAACGATAGTCTAGAGAATAAAAATTTCAGTTAATTAACCCAATTATTATGGCTCATAGGGAGAATATTACTTCATCCTCAATATCAAAAAGTAAACCGTTATGATTGATGTAACAAAATTTTAATAATTAAATACTTTATAGACTTGCTTGTGCGATCTTGCCTTTCTATTTTCACTAATACATCAAATTTGAAACAATTTATTATTATTTTTCTAAGATCTAATAATTATTTTAGCAATATTATATTAAATGAAACTACTTTATTCTGATACTAATTGTTTTTCATTATTTTATAACTACAAAAACCATTAAAATTTCACTCCATCTCGCCTACCGTGATCACTTTTACAATAAAGGAACCCAAACGTCGGGACCATGTAGATATAAAATAACAAAAAACCCGTAGTTAAAAAAAAAGTTTCATCTATATGAGTGCAAGCGAAATTCTTATATTTCAATAAATCATATTAAATTTAAAAGCATTCAAAAATAATCTACATACTGATGCCAAATGAAATGTAATGAAGAATTTTATTTTTGGAGAAATACATGTGCTTATGCCAAAAAAAATATGCGACTAAAATGCAAGCAGTTTCATATCAAAACGTCATTATCTTTAAATACGGACGTTTTAAAATTCATTTTGTGAAATAAATATTTCATCTTTTTATTTTCAACCAATCATGCGTCAGGGAATTCTTTTATATACATTTTCCCCCCCAATGAAATCAACTTAAATATTGTCGTATAAAATAAAACACAGCAAAAAACATACTTATTTATTAATAAAAAAAATTACAGCAATAAAATTATTAGGAAGTAATAAATATCACGAAGTATAGTTTTTGTATGGGATGGCAATAATTCAATAGTTTAGTGAAGGTTTCAAATTAAAATGCACTTGATAATATCCACATTTTAATATAAAATGTGTTTTATCACAGATCGTCTTAAAAGTACGTGAATTTTACAATTTTCAGGCCACTTTATGGTGAGAATGATTATCAAAAATTCATCTATTTTTAGGTATAACAATGTTTACATATATTTTTGTGGGTTAATTATAACATAAATAATTATTATACAAATTAATCCAAAAAAAGTGGCCCCTTAATGACGTAATTGTTATAAGTAGTATTTTATAATATGCCAACATTACGATTTTTTTTAGAAAATTGGCAATACAGTCAATATTTTATCTAAGGCACATTTTGATATAATTTTCTACTTACATATAAAGATCAATAATATATATTATTAAATAAATATTCGTAAAACGTCAACTTTTCTAGTAATACATCTAAATGATCAATAAAAATATAGATCAGTCTAATAAATATTGCCATAACGAGAGGAAAATATGTAAATTTCTACTGAATAAAATAAGAAAGAACAAGAAAGTATATGACATCAATAAAAAATAAAAACAAAACAAATAAATGCGTAAATAATATGCAAAAAAACTTAGAATGTAACTTTTTAAAATTAACCTACAACGCTTCCGTTAACAATATAAAATACATAAATAAGGCTCGCGACAAAAATGGCTACGTCACTGACATCCTATACTAAAAGAAAAAAAAATATAATTAAAACAATAATAATAACGGCAGTGTGAGGCAGGATCACGCCTTCGCTTCCAGATCGTATTTCTTTTCGTCGGCGTTCCTATAAATTAAAAAAATAAATAACAAAAAAATCCAAAACAATAAGAGATCTAAATATTAATCTAAAATCTAGCCTAGAACCTAAAACACACTATAATACATACCACGTAGGTACCAAATAATATTCACTACCACCATTCGTCCTTATAGAACCTTCTTCGCTTGAATCAAACATTAAATCCTTGTGTTCTCTGAAAACAATTCACAACACGACCTTATTTATGACAATTTTTTTTTCACCATTCGTTCCAAATTCAAATTTCGCGCGTCGCAAGCGTCCCTTCAAGCTTGTAGAATGCCGAGTGATTTGTTGATTTTAATTGTTGTTACCCACAATACATTTAGGTGATAATGATGATGGACTTTCTGATGATCTTGATTTCGCTTCATATTAATATCTACTTCTAAAAAAACTACTTCCGATTTCACCGAATGATAATTCCCATACTTCCTTAATTGTCGTTTTCCAATTCAATCCTCAGTAAAGTCAATCCATAAACATATGAAGATTTGTTCTTCAACGAGTGTCATATTCCGTCAAAGCTTATATCCCACATATAATTCCTTCTATTTGATGATATAACCATGCATTCATAATAAATGTCCTTATAGTTAAAACGTCACAATGTTAATGAGTAACTTATGTTATGTTAGTTAAACTCAGCCCACGAGTATAACAATTTATAGTCATATACCGATATCGTTATACTCATGTAAAGCATACCCGGAAAAGCACTAAAATGGTGTTGCCATATAAAATTAAAATTATATTTGTATGGCAACACCGATGATATTAATCAGACATACCTGTAGAATACGTAGTGTTGCAATATAAAGAAGATATCAAACACCAGGCTGAATAATCCGAGGCCGAATTTCGTCGCGTCTCCGAAGAATGATACCCAATCATTATAGTTGTAGGCATTCAAGGTCATTTGTAGGACAGATAATGAACCGCCAACGAAATCAAGGAAAATGTTTCCAATACTCCAACCGACCGTTGACTTCCTCTTATAGTTCATGTACGCCTGGAAATGGAATTAACATAATATAATCTTTATGTTCTGAAGGATAAAATCTTTAATCCTGTACAATTTATTGAGTTACTTTTACAAGTACTATACAAAAGATACTTATGTATCTATTGATGTAAGAATGATATTTTCGTAATTGTTTCGTGATGAATTTTGATAGTTCAAAAAATTACAAATATGATAAAATATCAATAGACATATATTTAAAGAAAATCTTGGGTGGCATCTACTTGTTGGGAGAAATTATAAAGATTCCAGAACACTACATAACCAAAACGTTGAATATCGAATCCGTTATAATTTTTTTGTACACCTAATTTCTACTTTTTCACCACAATACATGATTATAAATTAAGTGAAGTAGTTTTATTATAAATTCGCAATAACTTCATAAGTTAACTAATAGGCATACTATATATACTTTATATACTACTATAGTTAATGAAATATACTAAGAGATAATATTTCATTAACTATATCAATATATTCCCAATTTCTTTACCTGTGGCACGTATTTAATGAGAGTGATGCATAGTTTGATGTAGCTGCAATAATTGAGGAAGTCTAGCCAGGCTAACTTCCCAGCGCCCGCCACGCTCGCAGATACTAGAGCCACGCCCGCCATCCCACCGAGCACACAGCGACCCGTTACTGATACTCGCTGGTTCTCACGCTGTAAACATATTAGATACATTTTAATGGACTTGTAATGAAAGAGTTTTTGTTTGTTGTATTTTCGTCTATAATTGTTGTTACAGATGACATATTATTTAGGTACAAAAATTAAACTAAAATACGTTCGTTAATGATATCCATACTAATATTATAAATGCGAAAGTAATTCTGTCTGTCTTTTACGCTTTCACGTCTAAACCACTGAACTGATTTCAATCAAATATGGTACAGACATAGAGTTGACCTTGAGAAAGAACATAGGATAGTTTTTATACCAGATTTTTGAAAGGTTCTCTTGGAAATACGATATAACCGAAGCTGCGGGCGGAAAGCTAGTAAAAGTATATATAAATATATTTTCTTTGAACTTACCTCATATATGAAGCACTGCGTTATCGTGATGAGTGTAGCGAATGATGCGTGGAGTGAGAAGAACACGTCGTTCAACTGGACTGGGTTCAGACTTCGGGGATGACGTGAGAAATACTCCGACTGGAGATAGACAGAGATAGATATAGATAGACAGAGATAGAGATATATCTTCTTCTACCTGGCAATTTCCCGGCTATAGCCAGGGTCTGCCTTACGTGTTTGTGAATAGTTATGGCTAATTTTTTTTACGACCGGCCGCCTGCCTGACATCAACCCTCTTTTTGGGAATCAGCATTAATCAGTGATGTCTAAATATTCTTAGAAAGTACATATGATTCGGAAAAATCACATTGGTACTTCTTGCCCGGGCCGGGATCGAACCCGCGCTACCGGCAACTTCTAACCATTAGGTCACCACTGACTAACAGAGATAGAGATATATTGAGATGAGAGACATTTGAACTAATCATAATGAAAAATATTGTTAATTTAATATAGTATTAAATAAGATCTACATAGAGTGTATTTTTACATACATTTGTTTGACTTATGTATAGTTTTAATAATATCCCAATACAGTTTTTTTCTTTATATTTTTGTTCATAATAAAAAATGTATTTTATATAATTCTGTTATATCTTCTTCTACCTGGCAATTTTCCCAGCTATAGCCAGGGTCTGAATTATATATATTAGTTAAATAATATATAATATAATTCTATTATATGTCTTATAAATTAAATTAAATATAATTATCATACCTGTATATCCTTAGAGAAATATAAACCGCAGTTGAACAGTGAATACATGGCGAATCCCATTATGTTTAATGCCAGGAAATCAAAATTCAAGCCGACTACGCTCTTCCTCTTGAAGTTTATATAGATTTGAGGGTAGAATGATACGGACCACGCCAGGAAATAAATCCAACCCATGATATATGATATGACGTAGATCGCGTTGGAATACATCACAGTCACACGAACAAACACCGTGTCCAAACTGAAAATATATACATAATACATTATTGAAGTGCAACTTCTTTTACTTCTAATATGGTTGCGTTAAACGTTCAACGCTAAAGGAGGGGGCTTAGAGAGAGATGCAACTAGTACATAGTTGGGTTGTTATTTTCATTTTCACATTAAGCAGTTTCGTTTCTTGGGTGAATAATTCAAGCACAATTATTTTTTTAGTGACGTTGGTTGAATATATTATGCACATTTTACTTTGAGAATTAAAAGGATCACGATCATGCTTAAGACATATACCTATGTGTAAAAGGCAATAAGATTATTTTCATCTTATTTTTAGCAATATATTATTCCAAATAAACAATAAGATTTAATCAATATCCGATTGATTTGAATGTAATAATTATTAAATAGAATTCTATCAGTCATTGTATTAGAAGCAAAAGATAGACCAAGTAAGTAATACGATCTTAACAAACTAACACAAAATCACATTATAATATTAACAAAAATATATTTAGTACAAAACAATTGTCTTTTCGATCCAATATCTTTCATATCATGAGATCTAAGATTTTCATTCATTTAAATGAATCTAATATTTTTCGGATTATACTACGCAGTAACGTGGAAAGTAGCCAAAAGTATGTAGTTTTTTACAAAAAAAAGTCACGTGGTATAACACGAAAACTATTAGTTTCATTTAAATATGTTTAAATACTCACTTGACAAAACCACTCGGGGTGACATTGAAGGTGACTTCAGAATGTCCGGGACTTTTTCCATAGGCGCATATATCGTAGGTGATTTCAACTGTTTCATTGGGTAAATCAGACCCTGGAATGTCGATTTTTGGTGGCACGAATTGTACTATATCCGGATGTTGGATGTTTGAAGACACTTGAAGTGATGTGTTGTATTCACCGCTGGAAATTGACATTTATTATACATTAGATATTAGAAATCTTCTTCTTCTTCCTGGCAATTTCCACGCATTAGCCAGAGTCTGTCTTACATGGTGTATATAGTTTTGGCTAATTGTTTTTAAACCGGCCGCCTGCCTGACATCAACCCTCTTTGGGAATCGATATTAGTACTGATCATTGGTAATAAATTGTTCTATATCAGTACACCTGGTCTTGGTCTTGTTCTTGCATTTTGGCTAGACTGCAAGACTAAGACCAATTTTGGGCAACACTATTTAGTACACATAATATCATAATTATATTTAGAAAATTTTACATGGCAACAAATTTACAATAAAATATATATTAAACAATCTACTTACATTTGTACTAATTTGAACAATCTAGTCTCATCCACCAATAAATTCATATCTTTTACATCAACGTACAATTTTTCTATCTGGCAATACCCAACTGGAACACCTATTGAGAAAATATTACCATAAAAAGGTTTTATTCTATTTGTAATGCTTATTATATAAAACTGAATATCTAAATTAAATAATTATATTGATATATTATATATGTTACTGTTATTTAATTTTTAAACATAAATATATCTTAAAATTAAGTAACAACTATTCTTTCTTTTGTATAGCCTGTAATTATTTTTTTACTCTACATTTTTTACTAAGCAGAAAAAGAATAATTTATCGCAACTAACTCGTCTTATGTGGTTTTTATTTGTAAGTAAATTTAAGTAAAAAATAATTAAAATTCAAAAATTTTCTCTCTTACCCAATAAAATAAAAGCCACTATGTAATTTCTTAAACTATGACTAGCTAGTCTTGAGGATGTATGATGTCGAGCCATTTTTGTCTTGTCTTTACTATCTGCGAAAGAGAAACATAAAAAATTAATAAATTTTAAGAAAAGTTAACAATACTTATCTCAATTACTCTTATTAAATATAAATTAAACAAAAAATATATGTACATTTCACGAAAACAACAAACGAACAAAATACGTATATATCCAATACAACTGTATACTATCCTTAGGACAAGTTTTCATTACTACATACTACACGTTTCCCGTTTCTAATTCAAATAACCAACGCCAATAATCGATAAGAATTAGGAACAAAATCTATAAACGTGCCGTTCTTAGTGTCACCACAAACTCGTACTAAGTAAAACATTTTTAACGACTAAGATAAACCAAAAATAAAACTAACAAGCATGTGAATAAAGTAATAAAAAAAACAATTTTTTTTCACTACTAAAATTCTATCCACGAAATGTTATAAGAAAATCACTATTTTTAGTACTATCGCAATATGCTTAAAATTCCTGTACACGTAACGTAAAACATATATTAAACAGTTAAAAACCAGTACAAAAAAACTCTAAATCTATACAAATCAAATCAAAATATATAGTTTTTAAAGTACTTATCAAAATATAATTGTTACAAAAGAGACCACTCACTCGTGTAGCTGTGACGCGAATTAAGAAATCATAACACAAGCCCGTGTATAATGTACAGTTTATATTAACACTGTAACAAATCGAACAATGTTCACGATAATGTTAACAGATGTTAATGTTCCATAATGTTAACAATTTCTAACATTGCACATAAGAGAACAGAAGCTAATATTACTATACGTTATATGAACTTCAGAACATGTTTTTTGTTAAATAAGTCAATAAAATCAGCAAAATTGTTTATAAGTTACGTGTTAGAGCAATTTGAACCCAAATATAGTGTAATAAGGTTTATTTTGGTACAACAATTTCATTGTTTTTTTTAAACCAAACGTGTCTGATCAGTTAGTTGTTAAGCTGAAAGGTAATGACTTGTATATACAATTTTAATTCATACTATCATATGAAAAATATTTTTATTTATATATCAACGCCCCCTTTTGTTATATTTTTTATTATAAGTTGAACGGACTTAAATTTATTTATACAAGTTCGTCCTTGGCTTCCTAAAGACTTCGGAAGTAACGTCACATAAGCAAATACGTATCCATTTATGGTATACAAGATGTAATCTATTATTTGTACTAAAAATAGATGAACAATATAAATAGAAAACCATGGGTGATAACAATGGAATTTATGTCAAGTATCGTTTGAAATATTTCATAAAACAAAATACTTAAGAAATGACGTTAGTGATTTTTTTCTCATAGCCCCAAGTCCCTGAGCACAAGTTTATAAGAAACTGAATTCATTTATAACTAGCTGTTACATGCGACTTTGTCTGCGTAAAAAGATAGAAAAATAAACAATGAAAAACCTTTTAAACGCTGCGTGCGTCCTGAATCCAACTCACTCGTGATAACACTTATTTTCGAGATCGGGATAAAAAGTAGCCTAAGTTACTCCTTATTACATGAGCTATCTGCCAATAAAAGTCCCGTCACAATCGGTCAGCCATTTCAGAGATAAGCAGGAACAAACAGAAAGACAGACAGACAAAAAATTTAAAAAATATTATTTTGGTGTTACCGTATTTATATTCATATGCATGTAGTAAAAAACGGTTATTTCAATATTACAAACAGACAATCACATTTTATTTATTTGTATACATTTAACTATTTGACAAGTCTCTGTTAAACGGGAGCCGCTCCCAAACAAGTTTTGTCAAGCCGAATAATAAAATACCAGGTTATTATCCTTAATAACGTTTTTACAGACATTTAAGTTCTCATTTTATTTTACGAACATTCATGAGTGAATGGTCTAGAGAATGAATGAAAAATTGAGTGAATAACTTACACTCTTTAATCAAACTGTTTAAAATGTATTTAAAACAGATTAATTCCCGTGATATGGGATTACTTCAAAGCCTTTAAGTAATTTATAATTTAACACATCTTTAGATGGTTTTAAGTAAATATTTATTTCTAGATACAAGGAAAATATAATGATTAATGTATGTATTGTATACGAGCAGATTTTATTTGAATTAGGTAAAACGAATGCAACATTAGTACATAAGGTAATATTGGATGAATAAAAAGGAGGTCGATTTAAATATATATAAATACTGTTTTATGTTCGGCAATTATAAAAAAGATGACACATATATATCACAGACAGATTTTATCTATTTGTTATCAAGAAATCGTTTGTTTTCATGATAACAAAATAATCGGTCCATAGACTATTGTTATACGTATTATAACTTTGAAAGTAACATTTAATCTACAGATCGAAAAGAAACTATAGTTTAACCAAATAAATCGCGTTTTTAATATATAAAATAATACCCTTCCGTCGTATTAGATCCGCAAAATATACGTTTAATTAAAATTGTACTGACGAAAAGATAGTAAAAAACAATATTGTTTATTAAAATGAATTTTATCCATATATAAAGTATAAACGAAACATTATATATTATTTGTATGAAAAATATAAGTAACGTTTCATGTTATAAATGTAAAAGTATGCAAAATATTTATTATAATTAACATGAATGAGATAAAACTGTTAACTTTATCAGCGGACATAATAGCGGGCTTTGTAAATATTATGTCTCGGAATGATTTCATTGCACCGAGAATTGCTATAGAATAAAAATTATATTAACTTTATAATAAATAAAAAATAATATTTAAATATTCATTAGAGACCAAGATAAGAGTATTTAGACACCACTGACAGATGAAGAAAAACATCGTGAGGAAACCTGGACTTATAATTTCAAAATAAGTTTGAAATCACCAACCCGTCATGAGCAAGCGTGGTGATTAATGCTCAAACCTTCTCCATGTGAGAAGAGGCTCAGCAGTGGGCTCTGATAGGCTGATGACTAGAGATGAGTTATAGTTAAATAATCCTAACACAATCAATTAAAAGTTACTTCATTGCGTGAACAATTCCAATAATCGATATGACATTGCGTGAATCGATACACGCTTTACAAATATCAAGGATACATGTACAAACGATTCTAGCACGTATCGTGTGTACATAGAGACTATAATACTATATATTATTTATTAAGTGTACATACTTGTCAAGTCCATCAACCTTGCCTGTCAATATTGAGATTAATTAGGGCAAATTCATTTTAATGGTTAAAGTAATCGCTTAATTAATGGGATTAATTAAAAGAGGTTGCTATGCTCATGTTATTTGTCCATTGACTTGAAGATATAAAAAAAGTATTTATGTAGAATTTTATTATCTTTGCTTCAAGGACAGTGATTGAAAAATATCGCTAATTAGACATCGATATTTATTAAGATATATTTGATAAATATTATCAAATTATATCCGTTTAATTAAAGAACCAGGAATAAATACAGCAAAGCTATGTTTTAAATGAAACTAATATTTTCGGATGTACTAAACGATTTTATTTTTGATTATAAACTACATACTCCCGACGTTTCGGCTACTTTACAGCAACCGTGATCACGGGCAGACGAGATGTGAGATCTTAGATCTCAAAGCTATTTTTATAACAAATATAATTTTCATAGAAATTGGTGTAGGTAATGTATTAACAAGCTATTCCAACTTAAAATGGCTTTTTCATAATACGCCATCACTACCAATATAAAAAGTATAGTATTTTTAGTATACGGTGATCAAAACTAGAGCATTTATAACAAAACTAGCTTTCCGCCCGCAGCTGCGCCCGCGTGGAGTTCGGTTATATCGCGTTTCCAAGAGAACCTTTCAAAAGTCTGGGATAAAAACTATCCTATATTCTTTCTCAAGGTCAACTCTATCTCTGTACCAAATTTCATTAAAATCATTTCAGTGGTTTAGGCGTGAAAGCGTAACAAACAGACAGACAGAGTTACTTTCGCATTTATAATATTAGTAGGGATTGTATAAATATCAAGAGTATTTAAACTGTAAACTATTAGCAGGATAATATGAACAGTTCACCTCATTATACTGCCGTTAGAATGACAAAAACATACGTACACGACCAGCATTCTAAGACATACTCGGTGACACGGTCACGGAATACTTTGAAAGCATAATTAAATCTATCTAGAAACTTAAGCTGTAAATGGTATATATAAAATAAAGAATTTTTACAATTATTTTGTCTGTATGTCTATTTATTTACTGTGGATAATCTCTTAATATTGGACAATTTTGAAGAAATTTTCACACGCAAAAATAAGGATTAACAAAGGCTCTTCGTATTTTAGTGAGTTTATTATCTTCATTGATATCAATAATAATAAAAAATAATACAGACGAAGCCAGGGGCTGAACTAGTTAAGAATAATGAACAGCACATTTAACAACAAATTAAAATCATTACGTTAATTGTACATGAAAGAAGATTTACAATTTTACAATGACGGCCTATGAGTTATACAAGTGAAAGTGGCACTGTTAATGAGTGTTAACTTGAAAACTGTTATTTTAGGAGATATTGGTATATATTTTATAGCGTGGAGTCACGCGATAGGGTGATTGAAGCAAAAAAAGTCACTGAACCCAAAGGCATTATTCAATAAACACTTGACAATGTCGTTCGTCCCTTTACAAGGATGCTTTACCAACTTACAAATATATATATATTTGTGTGTGTGTGTGTGTGTATGATTGGACCGCAACACATTCAACAACTTAGAAAATTATTAGCAATACTATAGATTCTTATCAGTTACGTAATATTATTGAGAGCATATAAATGAACAATGATAACGTAAGTGTTCTACGTTTGACGTAACTTGAACGTAGTTGTTAGATTTTTATACGTTTTTTAACGTGACATACAAACGTCAGAATGTTATACCATTGTGGTGACAATTGTTTGAACCATATTCGGTGTATTACCATAATAAAGACAGCTAGACTCGTGCTGCCGGGTGTACA